GAGAAAAGTTTTAATGCAAAGGTTTTACAACAGGGTTTTGGGCATTAATGCAATGCAAAGAAAATAGGACAGGACAGGACAGGTGGGTTTGTGGAGTGACACAAATTTATATTTGCAAATTCAAATAAAAAAACAAAAAAATGAAAACGTATCAATGTCCTTAAATGTTATTTAACAACAAATGATATATAATAATAAAACAAATTTAAAGAAAATATATATTTGAAGAAGAAACAAAAAACCAAAAACTATTAAATATTTACATGAATACCATTTTTTGTGTTTTTGTTTTTTGCCAATTAACCTTGTTAAATTGTAATGCCGTTTTCTTTGTTTTCCCCCAAAACAACTTTCCCTGGCATATATAGCCACCATAACAGGGAAATGGAAAAAAATTTTGTTAAATACTTAGCTTAAATATTTACATTTGCAAGACCGCATAAAACCCCCTGAAAAAAAATATTAACAAAAGAAAAACCCTAATTAAACAAAAAATATTAGTTGTTTATTTCTTAATGCCTTAATAACCGAAATCCTCTCCCAATTTAAAAACAACAAAAAAACTCCTACAACAAAATAAATCATAAATAAAAATTTGTTAAACAAAACCAAAACAAAAAAGAATATTAGCTTTTAAAAAAAAACCCAAACCAAATGATAAACTTCATCAAAAACAAAGAAACCCCTCAACATTTCTCTCTAAAAAAAAAAAAACAAAAAACCAAAACAATTGCAATTTGAAAGAACAAAAATTTAAAAACAAAACCATTCAACAGTCAAAAAAATATATATCTCCAAATGAACACAATTTAAAAAAAAATTAACATTTTATGAAGAAAACAAAACTCCCAAAGAGAAAAAAAACCAACAACAAGCTTATCTCAGAACAAAAACAAATCCATTATATTTCAATAATTAATAAAAATCAATGAGAAAAATAAATAAAAGTATTTATGTGAAAAATACAAAAAAAATGTTTCAATGTTTTATTTCACAAGGAAGAAAATTGAAGGGGGAAAAAGGTAAGAAATTATTCAAAATCAAAGGGTTTCAATAATTATTTCATTAACCGGACTCTAACTATCGAATTACGCAGAGACGATGTTTTTGAAATCGATTTTCGATTTTACTATCGCAGACTTTACATATGAGCCATAAAGTATGCAACGATTTATGTAATTAAACTGATATAAGAAAAAAGAAATTATGTTATAGTTCCCAGAAATCTCCTCCATCTCTCCATCCGATCTCCTTTAAAGATCACCACCTCCTTTGTCTTTCTTAAATTTCTTAGTCTGGCTTCAATTTCCTGGCTGAATTCTTTTCACATGTCGTCTTCTTTCTGCAGTCAATGGTATGATATTTCTCTGGCTGAGCCATCTCACAGACCTTGTGGACAGCGTTGGAAGCGCTCATAGTTTCCTATCAATCCAGCCTACCTTTTTCTAGCTGCACCACTTCCACTTGGCAACTTCATCTATCTGATAACTTGTGCTTCCTTGAGCATCTTATTATTCCAGCCTCGTAGGTGGCCATCCTTTTTCGTCTTCATCTCTTTGACTTACAGCTCACCCCTGACTTCTGTCCTTTTCCGTTCCGTCATGACATTTTGCTTATTTTGCACCTTGGAATTTTAGGGGGTTGTTGGTAGTTTTTTTTCAATTCTTCAGGACTTGATTCTGTTTCCTCCCCAAGTACTTCAACTTCAGTAATGTGGACTCCTATTCCAAACTCTTTCGTCTTTGCTGGTACTTTCTGCGATCTCTTAACGCTCTGTTTTTTCTATAGATCATAGTTTTGCAGTCAACCTGTCATGTTCTGCTTCTGTTGCAAGCTGTGCTCTCTTTGAGCTAAACAAATCATCAGTAAGTTTGCCTTACTACTGCCTTCAAAGCCTTCCCCTTGAGTTCTACCCCCTGCTGAGCCCGCTAGCAATACGTCCATAGTTTCCTCGGCTACGCACCAAGCATTCTTAACTTTCTCCTTTAGATTCGTTACAAGTTTGAAGGCATCTTCCTCTCCCTTTTTGTGTCATATCAAGACAATCGCTCATCACGTTCTGTTTCTTCTCTAGCTCCTTGTTTTGCAGCCAACCTGTCATGTTCTGCTGCAAGACGAGCTCTGTTTGTGCTATACAAATCATCAGTAAGTTGTCTTACTACTTTCTTCAAAGACTTGCCCTTGTGTTCTGCATCCTAGTAATTCGTCCTTAGCTTCCTCGGCTACGCACCGAGCATTATTGAATTTCTCCTTTAGATTCGTGACAAGTTTTCTTCTCCTTTTTTATGTCATATCAAGGCAATCGCTCATCACGCTCTGTTTGTTCTCTAGTTTCCTAGTTTGGCACGCAAACTGTCATGTTCTTCTGCAAGACGTGGTCTTACCCTTGTGTTCTGCATCCTGGTTAGTCGATAGTAATTCTACCTTAATTTCCTCGGCTACACACAGAGTATTCTTGACATTCTCTTTTATATACGTGACAAGTTTCAAGGCATCTTCCTCCTCAAATTTTTGTCTTATATCAAGGCAAGCTCTATTGCCTTAATATTACCTTCTTTTTTTTTCATTTCTGCTACCGCTGCTTCACTCCAATCACTCAATACGTTCTGTTTCTTCTCTAACTCCTAGGTTTTGCAGACAAACTGTCATATTTTGCTTCTGCTCCAAGACGTGATCTCTTGGACCTAAAAAAATCATCAGTAAGTTGTCTTACTACTGCCTTCAAAGCCTGTGTTTTGCCTCAAGGTTAGCCCGCTAGTAATTTGCCTTTAGTTTCCTCGGCTACGCACATAACATTCTTCACTTTCTCTTTTAGATTCGTGACAAGTTTGAAGACATCTTCCTCCACAATTTTGGTCTGATATCAAGGCCAACTTCATTATAGGCCGAAATTCAACTATGTCAACCTAAAACTCCTTTGTTCTTTTGCAGAGAAGCCAGCCGATGACATAAGCCAGTAAAAAACTTGTTCGATGTGTTTTCACTTTAACATCTTCCGAGTACAGGCTTGCTATTACATTTGATGGGCTTTTCTGATAGCAGCCGCTAAGTCTGGACTTCTAAAAACCACTTATGAACGCCTGGATCGTATTTAATGTCCCTTACCGCGTGCATAATTTTTTCTGTAGCGACACTATCTATGGCTTCTTCCGCCTATAATATACCAATATTTCAATAATGGTACACATCATTTCGAAAAAAGTCGCTATCTCTTCCTTCATCATTTTTACTGCAGTCTTTTTTAATTTTAGCCGAAAATGTTCCTTTCCTTGAGGACAAATCCAGCCGTAAGCAGCAGTGCAATTGACTCTTCTATTTTTTGAGACAGAGAACTTCCCACCCGTAAGAATAATTTGCTGCGTCAGGCGGCAGTTGCTAAAACTTTACCAATGTTTTTCTTGTCGACAGAACAGCATCTTCCTCTCATTTTTTGGTGTGATATCAAGGTAATTGCTATTGCCTTGATATTAACTTTCCCTTTTTGCATTTCCGCCACAGCTGCTTCACGCTCCATTCGCTCGTTGTCCAATTCGGATGTTATGTTGACCATTTGTTTCTTCAAGCCACGGACATTCTTTTTGGTCTCTAAATTTTGAGCCTGCATGACTTCAGGGATGACCTTAACATCTTCTGAGTACAGCCTCGCTATTGCATTTGACGAACTTTTCTGATAGCAGCCGCTAGTCTGGATTTCTGAAAATCACTTATGAACGCCTGGATCCTTGCGCGTCCATATTTTTTTTTCTGTGGCGACAGTAAATACGTCTTCTATGGTTTCTTCCGTCTTTAATATATTCAATATTTCAATAATAGTACACATCATTCCGAGAAGAATCGACATCTCTCTTCCTTCATTTGCACCATCTTCTTTTCTTCTAGCCAAAATTTGCTTTCCTTGAAGACAATTTCAGCCGTGAGCATCAGTGAAATTGGCTCTACTATTTTATACAACTTCCTACCCCTAAGGATATTTTTTTGCGTCAGGTATCAGTTGATATAACTCCATCAAAGTTTTTTCTTGCCGACGGGATATCCCCGAACAGTAGGTATTTTTTCAATATTTAAATTTTAAAATAACCTTTTGGAAAAGGTGTAAATTAAGCTCAGTGCTCATGTCGTATACGTTTTGACAACGCTTATACGCCCCTGGGTGATAGATTTATTGTCTTTATTTAAATGATACTTCTCAAACCAAAATCCTTAACAAAATATTAGATTGAGAACGGAGAATTTTTTTATCATTCCTGAGAGATTAATTTGATTGAATTTTTACAAACTTCTTCCGATGCCATCGGAAATAAACCAAACAAATGTTGGTACTTGACTTCCAAAATAACCAGAAAAGTCCCAACAACCTAACATAATGTCACCATGCCTTGGCCAAATTGCGACTATTTCCCTATATTTCGTCCATCATCCAAACATGACGCCCTCACCATTTCTATTTTTATAGTTTTCTGTTGTATTTCTCCCCATTTCAAAAACATTAAAAGCTCCCCCTAAAATCATAACTAAAACGGCATGAACTTGACACTGCCACTAATGGAAATGACGATGATGATGGATGGGCTGTTTATTGAATTGTTGGCTGGTTGGTTGGTTCATGGAATTGTTCTCGGGTATTAGCTATTTTTTTTTCTCCGTCTTTGTCTGTCTGGCTCCGAACTTTCATTCTCCATTACCGGCTAATCTTGCCATACTGTCTGTTAGTTTTCGTACGCTCACCCACAAATTGGGGACTACTGCCGGCTAGGCTAGATGTCCAAATAAAGTTTTGTTATCACATCTTTTTGTATTTGCCAATTCTCCCTCCAAATTGCAAGCAAGCATTACTCTCTCCCTAATACGCGCGAATTAATTAATTATCTGGATAATTGGTTATTGTTTGTAAGAGCAAGTATCGGAGATAAGGGTGCAGCTCTTGGGCAAATATCAGTTTTACTTTGGCCAAACAAATAGTTTTGCCAAAAAATTCATTTTATCTCCAGCCAGTGGTGGGTTCAGATATTCCAGCGGACTAAAAATGGAAATAATGGATTCTCTGATCGTTTTCCAAATCATCTATCAATTCACCAATTTAACGCCATGGTCCATAAATCGCAAGGGTTGGATATTTCAGCGTAGCCGTATTCTGGAAGCCTATTGTGTGGCTGTGATTCTGGTGTCGGTGGTGGTGCTCTTATATGGTCTGTTCAGCAAGAATGCCATAACCACCATCAACTCCAATGACATTGGCAAGACCGTGGATTTTATACAACTGGTTGGCATACGAGTCGCGCACATTGTGTCCATAGCTGAGGCCTTGATCCGTAGAGAGGAACAGAAGAAGTTCTATCAGCAGCTAATTGAAATCGATAAAATCTTTGAGAAATCCCTGAACATTGATCTGAACAATGGGTGAGTAGAGGTTGCCTTCTTGCGGATAATCATTGATTTCTTTCTCATCTCTTTGCCAGAAAATTCCATTCCTCCACCGCCAAAAGTGGCCTCCTCATTCTATGCGTTTACATCATTTCCGAGGTTTTCATTCTCATTGCCCATTTGATATCCTATGAGAATGAAAATTTCCAAATCTATTGGATATTCTATTTGGTGCCGCTACTGATTTGTGGCCTGAGATATTTCCAAACATTTACCTCCATACGCCTGATACAAAAACGCCTGAATGAGCTGATAAAGCTTCTCAACGAAATCAATTTACACAAACCGCCCAAAGAAGTGGAAGCCGAGCAAGCAGAAAAAGAAAAGGACTCACTCTACAAATCGCTGGCACCTTTCAAAATCTCCGACACCCACTCTACGTTTAGTCTTTTGGAATTGTCGCTACACAAACGCCAGGAAATGGAGAATACCGACATGAAAAAATTACTGATTGTGCGTGATTTGTACAATCGTCTGTTTCTGCTGACCGAAATCTTTAATCGTTACTTTGGCGTATCGATGCTCATAAATTTGGGCAATGATTTCATTTCCATTACCTCGAATTGTTATTGGATCTTCATAAATTTCAAAACTTTTGCCTCGACGACAAAGAATTTTTTGCAGATAGCTGGGAGTACGGTTTGGTTTATACCGCATGTTTTGAATGTTTTGGTTCTGGCCATATTGTGCGACAAGACCATGGGATGTGTGAGTGAAGAGGAGTGGGGATTTCGTTTGAATATTTTAATAATTTTTTCCGAAAATTTTCAGACCACAAACATGGCCTTGGGTTTGCATCGCATACACATTGATACGTTCAATGATAATCACAATTCGGTGGTAAGTTGAAGGACTTTTTGTCTTTTCTTTCATTTGTACACGCGTTTAGAAGCTCTTTGGAATGCTGAAGATCTGTTAAAGACCATGCAGGTATAGAAAACGGAATCCTAATTATAGAATCAGATTTTTTTTACTTTGAGAAGACATAATAGACCTAAGAGTGGAAATACATAAAGCGCATATTTGGCTGGCTTAAGTATGGCTAGCTTTATCATAGATAAAAAAAGGAGTTTTAGGTTGACTTAGTTCGATTTTGGCCCTATACTCCTTTGTTCATTTCCGAAGAAGCTCCCCTAGATACAGAAGATAAATATCAAATTTTTCAGTACAAAACAAAATTTATGGCACAAAATCTGTTATTACAGAAGATTGTTAACCTTCTGGGACTTATAGAAGGCCTTGTACATGCTTTACAAAAGAGTCGTCACAAAATAAACTTTCGCACCCATTAAATATTCCTTTGTTTATTATGTTCTTGCATTTTCAAAACAAATTCCAAAGGTTGTTTCAAAATAAGCTTCAACTATCAAATATTATTGGAATTTATTGTTCTTGAAAGGCGTGCCGTATACGCTTGGTAGGGCGTCTGTTTTAGGTGTCTGTAGATCTGTTTTGTCATCAAGTGATTTTATCTTTCTTTTTCATTTAATTTGACTCTTTTCAAGTTCCTACTTTTTTCGTTCTCTTATTTTTGTACAATATTTATATATGAGAGTAATTTTTGATGATTCTCTCTTTTGCCGTTGATGTTTGTATTCTCTCTTTAAAGTAATCACTTTAATATGCACAAGATAGCTCCAATATTATAAATCTATGGAACCAAGTTGTATTTTTTAGAAAATAGGAAATCTCCTACAGGGCTTCTATATAAAAAAACATCTTCAACAATTTATTATCTGTTCTAAATGAGTCTTTTATATATTTTCTATTATTTTATGAAATTTTCTTTGCATTTTAGATCCAACAGTTCTCCTTGCAGTTGTTACATCAAAAAATCATTATAACCGCTGCTGGATTTTTCACCATTGATTGTAGCCTCTTATATGCGGTAAGTTAAAGAAAACATTTAAGCCTTAGCCTTAAAATCAACCGGGATAGTTTCCTTTTTTAAAAAATGGGTTTTGCAAGAAAATGCTATTTTGTCATTATTTGCCATATTTTGCGGAATCAAGACACAGGAAATTTTATAAAAGACGAATGATCAAAATGTCACCCCTACTTCATATTTACCTCTCTCCATGGTAGAAGAATACAGGTAGTCGCATTGACACAGCTTCAGGGACAATGAACTTTCAAACCGATCTTGAATGAAAAATTATTAAAAAAATGCATATCATTATAACCTCCGATTGGCGTAGTATAAGAAAACATATAAAAATCTACATATTTTTCACAAAACACTTTAAAATTTTTGAAATATTAATGTTATCAAGCGTTATTGCATCTACCTGTTTTCTTCTACCATGCCTCTCTCTTTATAATGTCATGAAACTCTCTGGGTTTCTAAATCCACAATTTGCCTTAAACTAATAATACTACGTTTACATTTTACTGGATTTAGTAAACCCGGAGATTTCAATTGCCAATTTAATTGCTTAGACGTCAAATCAATCCTCAAAAACGAGGTTAACTTAGCAAAACATGTAAACATGATCTATGTTTTCTTTTAATTAAATTAAATTCATTAAAACAGTAAAAAATCAACTGTTTCGAAATTTTCATTACAGATTGTTGGTGCTACAACAACATACCTCATAATACTCATACAATTCCATTTGAACGAGGAGCTGGATTCCTAAATGGATGATAAATGGCGACGTATTTTATTTATTTCAGTATTTTATCACGTAGTTATACACACATATACACATAATAATCTCAACCCATATAAGTATTCAAAAATGTATAAAATCATATAAAAATAAAGACGATATTGTGTGCTTAAAGTGTCACTAAATATATACATAATGCTAGGAACACAATTGGAGCGAACGACGAATTTCGCCCTACGCGGCGACAAAATGAGCCGCGAAAATTCGTCGTATGGAACACAATACCGACGAAATTATAAAACAGCTGATGAAGTTGTTTACTTTTTGCTCATTTGTTGACTACAATGAATTATACAAGAACACATAATTCTTTACGTTCTCTATTATAATTTCACTTATGTCCATCTTCTCTATTATAAATTCACTGATATCCATCTTCACTCAGGCGCAAGTACACAAATAAATAAACAAATTAATTATGTTTTTTTTATACGAGTAACAGATAGTAGAGTGACCATAACAAATTTTAAAGTAAAAAGTAACTTTATTTACTAAAACACATAAAATTCGTACAAGTATGGCCACCTTGTACTGTTTTGTTCGCCGGTCGCCGGCGTATGAAATAGAAATAAAGCTAATTGAGTTCGCGGCGACCGACGAAATTTTCGCCGGTGCCGTGATTGTGTGCACTTCCATATACACATATGTGTTTTATTTTTAACGACGAACATACGCCGCGAAAAAATTCGTCGTTCGCTCCAATTGTGTTCCTAGCATAAAGGCTGTATGGATGTAATGAGAGCTAATTTTCCGGAAATTTGGCAAAAAGAACCAAAGGAGCATTGACTAAGGCCTACTTAAAGTCGACCAGGAGTACTACTTTTGACAACGATTTGACAATAAACTTAATAGTTTTTGCACTATTGTGATTTGACGTTCTTTGTATTTCAAATCACAATTGTGTTTTTGACAGCACCCTTGGTTGTCAGATGGGCTTTTTGGCCGACCTTATGTAGGCCTTGGCATTGACGAATCAAAGATTTTGATCACCTGTTATAGAGTACCTATTTAATGTGATTGAGGAAGGAAAACATGGTAGAAGAAGAATATGTCAAAATTGTAATATGTTTTTTTTTTTTTCAAATATAAGTAGATTTTTATATATCAATTAGAGGTTGTTATATAAGGCGTGTTTCAAAAAAAAATCGAATAATTTTTCATTCAAAAGTTTCAAATCCAAAAGTGGTTTGACAGTTCATTGTCCCAACATCTGTGTCGATGCGTCTGCCTGTATTCTTCTACCATAAAGAAAACATAGACTTACTAAGTCGAGTAGATTTCATTTGTCGATTCCATTGTATATACGTCAAATGAAATCTACTCTTAAACCAGTGGATTTAATTTGACATATAGACAATGGTATTGACTGTTTAAATCCACTAGATTTAATAAATCTAAACGCAATTATAGTCCACTTTTTTTAAAGTAAAAATGACAGTTTTATACATACATCTCTAAATTTTTATTAAACCTATTTACTAGACACATATATACATTCCTACGCTTTTTCTTGAAACATCCAAAGAGATTGATTGAAATGTTAAAACATTATTGCAGGTCTTCAATTCACCATAGTTTCTTGAATCTCGGTTTGATTTACATTTCCACTGTTATTGTCACTCTTTGTAAACTGAATGAGAATTATTAGATGGGTTACAATCAGGACACAAATCTGTAAAGAAATAGAAGGTAAAATTAATTTAATAAAATACTTTTAAAAAGAGTTTTAATTAGACATCTTAAAGAAGAGAGGCAATTCCCCAATAGAACAAATATTTTTTTAAACTGGCAATGCTGGCTTCTTGGGTTGCCATATTTGATAAACAAACACTGATCTCGAGAAAAAGGGGGATTACTTACACCAAAAATGCATTGCAGATCGAAATTAAAGAAACGTTTGCCGGTAACCACAATTCTTTGATGCAACAATTGCAATGAGAAATCATGGACCAGACTTTTATAGTTCTTCTGCAGTTCCAAGCAATTATGGTTGGAGTCCGATACATTTAAACGTGTCACTAATAAGGCAGTGAGACGACACTGGAAATATAAAGCAAAATTTTATACATGGCATATGTGATATATAATTATATATTATAACGGATCAAAGGATCTGAATTATCAAAGAACCAAACTCCTGAAACGTGAGTGTAAATGGTTTTGCTAGTCCTTTTTCAGGACATGACTCTAGTTACTTGGGATATCTCTCCGATCCTAGAGGGCCGTATACCCAGCGAAGACAAACTCATTTTCAAGCACGTTTCAGGGTTTCTTCGGTGTTGCCTTTTTCCCACACTAGATGTAGATTTATTTCTTAATGGCTTTTCTTGGAAAGATATTAAATCTGTTATCGCTTAAATGGATGTACTTTAACAATAAAAAATATAACATTAGATTTATGACCGTGATTAATCCTTTTCCTTTTTTGGGTACATTTTAATTCATTGATTTTGTTTTTTTTGATAACACTTTCTTACTCACCTCCTGTTTGACCAACTGACATGTGTAACAAAATTTATACGAATTCAAGGACAACGGTATAATTGTGCTAATCGACAATACAATACTGGCGGAGGGAAATAGTTTATCCAATGCCAGGAGACACCAATAAATGTGACATGTACAATCCAAGAAATAGGATGCCGTCACCGCAAACATCGAAGCCTGGCCAAATTCGTTGAGACAATGAAATGCCTCATAAATACTCGAATACAATTCCTTTATGTGATTCAAATATTCCAGCGTTTCCAACTGTTTGTAGTCCACATCCAATAGCTGGGCCTCCTCCTCTGTTTTCAAGCAGACAACTTGTTGGAGTTTGCGATTCAATGACCACAAATAATGATTCAATAGCTCCACATACATTTGCAGCTGTAGGAAACGCATGCGCATTGCCAAAATGGCAAATAGGGCCCACCAGAAGTAGCCCTGGTCGTCCATAAAGGAGGTATGTATGCCGAAGATGATTAAACCCAGTATTGATATTGCAGCCAGGCTAAAGAGTATTCTCCGTAACTTTTGGGCTAGAAGATCGCGACCGATGTCGGTTCGCAATTTCAGTTTAAATGCCACCTCAATTTCATCGAGCAGTCGCAGGAACTCGGTGTGTTCCCTTTGTTTGGCCAGACATTCCCACATCATGACCAAATGGCTGAAGATTTGCGACACAAAGACAAAGGCCGAGACAAACCACGAAATGATGTAGTCATTCTCCAGCGGTGACATAAAAACGCCCAAAACACAAATCGAAGAGAGAATAACCATCAGGAAGCTGGTGTAAATGGTACAGCCGATTTTCCATCGACGGCTGCCATATTTCGTCTGGGGTATATAAATACCGAACGCTGTGCAACAGTTCAATACAAATTTCAGATCTTCGTCCATTGCGGGGTAATGGCGTTGAAGTAACTGTGCGAAAGAGTTATGAAATTCTGGCTCTTAGTTGCTAGTTAGGTGAAGACATGAGATCTACAATTCTTGAGAAGCATTTTGGGTGGTAGATGTAGTTTGCAACATGACTAAAGATAAACTTGCTACTTTAAGGTTGTGACGAAGCACACTTTTGATTTTCTTTTTTATACCCTCTTGAACAATGTTCCCTCTTCTTCACCTATATTTTTTTTTTCACGCGAACTCGAAATAAATTCTATTCCAAAAAATGACATACATTTTTTTGTTTATTTTATACCAAAAAAATACCTTTTTGGATTTGTAGTCCAACTTACGAGTAGGGCAATAGTTTTTCTGCTAATATTTTCTTTGAAATCCACTTTAAGATCGCAATTACGATAATCCATATTATTTATGGCATTTCGACAATAAATAATTGCCAATAGCTCATTAAAGCGATGGAAAGGATAAACCAAATGGAGGCATTATTTTAAACTACAAGGAGCATATCTCATAAGTCATAATGCCCCCCCCCCCCCCCCCCCCTCACTACTGTTAATAACTTTCCCTTTCTACTTCCCTTGGTAAATTGAACCTATCCCCATTGAACCCAAATCTGTATTCCTGCAAGTCATTGAAAATAAAATTCCAGTTCAATTTCCAATATTCTTTTTCTTAAAATCACTTAACCCCAATTGTTTTAAACAAAAATGTATGGATGATTGATAGCGGCCTTAACTTTTAGATTAATAAATAGACATTCTTTCAAATCCCTAACTCAGTTCAAACAAAACCCTCCATCAAAATGGAAACTTTAGGTTCCATTGTACGAGCCGCCTTAATGTTCCTCATTCTAATTTGTGGTCTCTATCCCATTACCCGTTTTCCATGGGTGACACTGTTGCTACGAATCGGTCTACTCGTTTGGCTGTTTGTCAATGTGTTCCTAATGTTTTATCTACGAATGAATGGTAGAGACACTTCGATTGGTGGCCTGGTGGGTACAGCATCATTTGTCTGCAATGGCATCACGAACATTATTATTATACTCGAGTCTATGCTCCATGATAACCATGCAAAAATAATGCACCAACTTGAAGATGAGATCTTCTATATATTTAAAAGACATTTTCATAAAAGGATTGAGGAATTGGAAAAACTGCGGCATAAAATGTCCAAAGAAATTCTGGCAATATTTTGCATAGAATTGATTTGCATCGGCTTTAAGCTCTGGATCAATGCCATCTCCTCCATACAGCCAGTGTTCTGGCAGGCTTTCCCCACCAGTGTTAGTTTAAGGGTGCGCTATATTCAAATTATAGCCATTGTCATTAAATTCAACGGACATGGGGAAATTTTCAAACATTACCTAAAATTATCGACGACAGACAAAACGCCATCGAATGCAGTGGGATTGTGGCAGCCCTATAAGGATGAAGAGTATGCCCAATTGAATGCCAGACGTTTGATTTATTTGCGCATTTGGGAATTGTTCAAATCCTTAAACGATGCCTTTGGCTGGTCGATATTGTATTTGTTTATGACCTCGTTTTTCGATATTGTCTGTAATTGTTATTGGACATTTACGGCGGTCTATAAGGGGCAGGTCTTTCATAAATATGTCTTCAATGGAGCCACTTCAATATCGCTGGCCAGTTTGGTAATAACCTTGTTCTATTACACCGATACGAGTTATAAAAACGTGAGTATTTCTATTGTTTTCACATATTTATTTATGTTTTCAAAATTGGCAAGAAAAATTAAATAATTTAAAAGAAGACAAAGTAATTTTAAATAAAAATTTATTTTGAAACATATATTTCACTCATAAAATTCTGAAACTAATATAGTAAACTGTGCAGAATATTTGGTCCATTGACATCAACTTCCTAAGAACCATAATTGGGGGACAAATAGTGGCAAATTAGAAAAAGGCCCAAAATTGAACAAAAATTGAAGTTTAAGGTTCTGAATAAATTTATGAAAATACCCAAATTGATGGCAACATTTCACAGATTATTTCAGACATTTTCTTTATTAACATTATCTTCGAAAGATTTGGAACTAGGGTCTATATAACCCCAAAACCATGTGTGCAAATGTAACCTAAAAAATCACCAAATTCAGAATAAATATTATATCTACAGATTTTTTGTATTTGGAAACCTATAGTGAATTTTTATGTAGAATATTTCCTACGTTAACGTCGTTACTCCAAAATGTGACATTCTGGTCGAATTTGACCCATTACCAAACGTCAAATATTACACAAAATGCCATTAAAGAATATCTGGTGTAAAGATTCCCAATTGGTACGCCTTTTTAAACGACAAGTGTTATACCTACTAAATTATTTTTTTTGGAGACCTGTAGCAAAATTTAGCGTAGATTATATCTCCCATTGATCATTTGCCTTTAAAATGTAAGTTTATGGATCAATTTGGCCTAATACCAAATATATTGGCTACAGTTTTTCTGCTAATATTTCCTCTGAAATTCACTTTAAGATCGCAATTTCAATAATCAATATTATTTATGGCATTTCGACAATAAATAATTGTCAATAACTCATTAAAGCGATCCAAAGGATAAACCAAGAGACACATTATTTTCAATTGCGAGGAGCATATCTCATAAGTCATAATGCCCCCTTTATTACCTACTATGAAAACATTTTATCTTCTACTTCCCTTGGTAACATTGAACCGAAATGTGTATTCCTGCAAGTCATGGAAAATAAAATTCCGGTTCAATTTCCAATATTCTTTTCTTGATATCACTTAACCCTAATTGATCTAAAAAAAATGTATGGATGATTGATAGTGGCCTTAACGTTTAGATGAATAAATAGACATTCTTTCAAATCCTTACCTCAGTTCAAACAAAATCCTCATACAAAATGGAAACTTTAGGTGCCATTTTAAGAGCCGCCTTAATGTTCCTCATTCTAATTTGCGGTCTATATCCTATCGCCCGTTTTCCATGGGTGACACTGTTGCTACGAATCGGTCTACTCGTTTGGCTGTTTGTCAATGTGTTCCTAATGTTTTATCTGCGAATAAATGGTAGAGACACTTCGATTGGTGGTCTGGTGGGTACAACATCATTTGTCTGCAATGGCATAACGAACATCATAATTATCCTCGAGTCCATGGTACACGATAACCATGCGAAAATAATGCAACGACTTGAAAATGAGATCTTCTATATATTTAAAAGGCATTTTCATAAAAGGATTGAGGAATTGGAAAAACTGCGGCATAAAATGTCCAATGAAATTCTGGCAATATTTTGCATAGAATTGATTTGCATTGGCTTCAAGCTCTGGATCAATGCCATCTCCTCCATAACGCCTGTGTTTTGGCAGGCCTTTCCCACAAGCGTTAGTTTAAGGCTGCGCTATATTCAAATTATAGCCATTATCGTTAAATTTAACCGACATGGGGAGATATTCAAACATTACCTGAAGTTATCCACGACAGACAAAACTCCATCCTATGCAGTGGGATTGTGGCAGCCCTATAAGGATGAAGAGTATGCCCAACTGAATGCCAGACGTTTGATTTATTTGCGTATTTGGGAAATGTTCAAATCATTGAACGATGCCTTTGGCTGGTCGATATTGTATTTGTTTATTACATCGTTTTTCGATATTGTCTGCAATTGTTATTGGACATTTACAGCGGGTTACAAGGGGCAGGTCTTTCATAAATATGTCTTCAATGGAGCCACTTCAATATCGCTGGCCAGTTTGGTAATAACCTTGTTCTATTACACCGATACGAGTTATAAAAACGTGAGTATTTCTATTGTTTTCACATATTTATTTATGTTTTGAAAATTGGCAAGAAAAATTAAATGATTTAAAAAAAGACAAAGTAATTTTAAATAAAAATTTAATTTGAAACATATATTTCACTCATAAAACTCATACCTAGCACTCTGTTTTCTTCTGAAACTAATATGGAAAATTGTGCAGAATATTTGGTCCATTGACATCAACTTCCTAAAAACCATAATTGGGGGACAAATAGTGGCAAATTAGAAAAAGGCCCAAAATTGAACAAAAATTGAAGTTTAAGGTTCTGAATAAATTTATGAAAATACCCAAACTGATGGCAACATTTCACAGATTATTTCAGACATTTTTTTCATTAACATCATCTCCGAGAGATGTAGAACTAGGGTCTATTCAACCCCAAAACCATGTGTGCAAATTTAACCTAAAATATCACCAAATTCAGAATAAATATTATATCTACAGATTTTTTTATTTGGGAACTTATAGTGAAATTTTATGTAGAATATTTCCACCATTAACGTCGTTACTCCAAAATGTGGCATTCTAGTCGAATTTGTTCCATTACCAAATGTCAAATATTACACAAAATGCCATTAAAGAATATCTGGTGTAAAGACTCCCAATTGGTACGCCTTTTTAATCGATAAGTGTTATACCTACTAAATTATTTTTTTGGAAACCTGTAAGAAAATTTAGCTCAGATTATTTTCCCCATTGATCATTTGCCTTTAAAATGTAAGTTTATGGATCAATTTGGCCTAATACCAAATATATTGGCAACAGTTTTTCTGCTAATATTTCCTCTGAAATTCACTTTAAAATCGCAATTTCGATAATCCGTATTATTTATGGCATTTCGACAATAAATAATTGTCAATGACTCATTAAAGCCATTCAAATGATAAACCAAATGGACACATTATTTTCAATTGCGAGGAGCATATCTCATAAGTCATAATGCCCCCTTTATTACCTACTATGAAAACATTTTATCTTTTACTTCCCTTGGTAGCATTGAACCCAAATGTGTATTCCTGCAAGTCATTGAAAATAAAATTCCGGTTCAATTTCCAATATTCTTTTCTTGATATCACTTAACCCCCAATTGTTTTAAACAAAAAATGTATGGATGATTGATAGCGGCCTTAACTTTTAGATTAATAAATAGACATTCTTTCAAATCCTTACCTCAGTTCAAACAAAACCCTCATCCAAAATGGAAATTTTAGGTGCCATTTTAAGGGCCGCCTTAATGTTCCTCATTGTAATTTGCGGTCTATATCCTATCACCCGTTTTCCATGGGTGACACTGTTGCTACGAATCGGTCTACTAGTTTGGCTGTTTGTCAATGTATTCCTAATGTTTTATCTGCGAATAAATGGTAGAGACACTTCGATTGGTGGTCTGGTGGGTACAACATCATTTGTCTGCAACGGCATAGCGAACATCATAGTTATCCTCGAGTCCATGCTACACGATAACCATGAGAAAATAATGCAACGACTTGAAGATGAGATCTTCTATATATTTAAAAGGCATTTTCATAAAAGGATTGAGGAATTGGAAAAACTGCGGCATAAAATGTCCAAAGAAATTCTAGCAATATTTTGCATAGAATTGATTTGTATTGGCTTTCAGATCTGGATCAATGCCATCTCCTCCATAAAGCCTGTGTTTTGGCAGGCCTTTCCCACAAGCGTTAGTTTAAGGCTGCGCTATATTCAAATTATAGCCATTATCATTAAATTTAACCAACATGGGGAAATATTCAAACATTACTTGAATTTATCCACGACAAACAAAACTCCATCCTATGCAGTGGGATTGTGGCAGCCCTATAAAGATGAAGAGTATGCCCAACTGAATGCCAGACGTTTGATTTATTTGCGCATTTGGGAAATGTTCAAATCCTTAAACGATGCCTTTGGCTGGTCGATATTGTATTTGTTTATGACCTCGTTTTTCGATATTGTCTGTAATTGTTATTGGACATTTACGGCGGGTTACAAGGGGCAGGTCTTTCACAAATATGTCTTCAATGGTGCCACCTCAATATCGCTGTCCAGTTTGGTAATAACCTTGTTCTATTATACCGATACGAGTTATAAAAACGTGAGTATTACTATTGTTTTCACATATTTATTTATATTTTGAAAATTGGCAAGAAAAATTAAATGATTTAAAAGAAGACAAAGTAATTTTAAATAAAAATTTAATTTGAAACATATATTTCACTCATAAAATTCATACCTAGCACTCTGTTTTCTTCTGAAACTAATATGCTAAATTGTGCAGAATATTTGGTTCATTGACATTAACTTCCTAAGAACGATTTTGGGGCACAAATAGTGGCAAATTAGAAAAAGGCCCAAAATTGAACAAAAATTGAAGTTTAAGGTTCTAAATAAATTTATGAAAATACCCAAATTGATGGCAACATTTCACAGATTATTTCAGACATTTTCTTCATTAACACCATCTCCGAAAGATGTAGAACTAGGGTCTATTCAACCCCAAAACCATGTGTGCAAATTTAACCTAAAAAATTATCAAATTCAGAATAAATATTATATCTACAGATTTTTTGTATTTGGAAACTTATAGTAAAATTTTATGTGGAATATTTCCTACGTTAACGTCGTTACTCCAAAATGTGACATTCTGGTCGAATTTGACCCATTACCAAACGTCAAATATTACACAAAATGCCATTAAAGAATATCTGGTGTAAAGACTCCCAATTGGTACGCCTTTTTAATCGATAAGTGTTATACCTACTAAATTATTTTTTTGGAAACCTGTAAGAAAATTTAGCTCAGATTATTTTCCCCATTGATCATTTGCCTTTAAAATGTAAGTTTATGGATCAATTTGGCCTAATACCAAATATATTGGCAACAGTTTTTCTGCTAATATTTCCTCTGAAATTCACTTTAAAATCGCAATTTCGATAATCCGTATTATTTATGGCATTTCGACAATAAATAATTGTCAATGACTCATTAAAGCCATTCAAATGATAAACCAAATGGACACATTATTTTCAATTGCGAGGAGCATATCTCATAAGTCATAATGCCCCCTTTATTACCTACTATGAAAACATTTTATCTTTTACTTCCCTTGGTAGCATTGAACCCAAATGTGTATTCCTGCAAGTCATTGAAAATAAAATTCCGGTTCAATTTCCAATATTCTTTTCTTGATATCACTTAACCCCCAATTGTTTTAAACAAAAAATGTATGGATGATTGATAGCGGCCTTAACTTTTAGATTAATAAATAGACATTCTTTCAAATCCTTACCTCAGTTCAAACAAAACCCTCATCCAAAATGGAAATTTTAGGTGCCATTTTAAGGGCCGCCTTAATGTTCCTCATTGTAATTTGCGGTCTATATCCTATCACCCGTTTTCCATGGGTGACACTGTTGCTACGAATCGGTCTACTAGTTTGGCTGTTTGTCAATGTATTCCTAATGTTTTATCTGCGAATAAATGGTAGAGACACTTCGATTGGTGGTCTGGTGGGTACAACATCATTTGTCTGCAACGGCATAGCGAACATCATAGTTATCCTCGAGTCCATGCTACACGATAACCATGAGAAAATAATGCAACGACTTGAAGATGAGATCTTCTATATATTTAAAAGGCATTTTCATAAAAGGATTGAGGAATTGGAAAAACTGCAGCATAAAATTTCCAAAGAAATTCTAGCAATATTTTGCATAGAATTGATTTGTATTGGCTTTCAGATCTGGATCAATGCCATCTCCTCCATAAAGCCTGTGTTTTGGCAGGCCTTTCCCACAAGCGTTAGTTTAAGGCTGCGCTATATTCAAATTATAGCCATTATCATTAAATTTAACCAACATGGGGAAATATTCAAACATTACTTGAATTTATCCACGACAAACAAAACTCCATCCTATGCAGTGGGATTGTGGCAGCCCTATAAAGATGAAGAGTATGCCCAATTGAATGCCAGACGTTTGATTTATTTGCGCATTTGGGAAATGTTCAAATCCTTAAACGATGCCTTTGGCTGGTCGATATTGTATTTGTTTATGACCTCGTTTTTCGATATTGTCTGTAATTGTTATTGGACATTTACGGCGGGTTACAAGGGGCAGGTCTTTCACAAATATGTCTTCAATGGTGCCACCTCAATATCGCTGTCCAGTTTGGTAATAACTTTGTTCTATTACACCGATACGAGTTATAAAAATGTGAGTATGTCTATTTATGTTTTGAAAATTTAAAAGAAAAACTATTAGTAAGTGAAATTTTATGTAAAATATTTTCTCCTTTAACGTCATTACTCAAAAATATAGAATTCTAGTCGAATTTGACGCAAACGTCAAATATTACACATAAATGCCATTAAAGAATATCTGGTGTAAAGACCTCAACTGGTACGCCTTTTTAACCGTTAAGTGTTATACCTACTAAATTATTTTGTTTGGAAACCTAAAAGAAAATTTACGTATATTATTTTCTCCATTGATTATTTGCCTTAAAAAGGCAAAATTATTGAAATAATCCCCAAAAAGCATTAAAAAAAACACTAAAATTGTTACTCCTTATTTTAGTGATAAATGTTATAGTTGGAGATTTCCATTATTTGGACACCCATGACAAAATTCAAGTTAGAATGTTTTCTCCATTGAGACCATCCCTTAAAAAAGTACAACAGTGGACGAATTTAATCCATTTTCAAATACACTTTACTAAATTCTTTTGGTATGTTATTCCTACCCCCAGGTCAAAACACATTTGCCAGATTCTTGTAATTGTTTTTCCATTTTCCATGTAAAAACCTTTCAATTGCCATGACTTGCCATATTTGTAATGCCGACATCGTCCATATAAAACGTCTCGGCCAATTGTGTTTGAAATTAGTCTCATCTCGGATAATATGGAGGCCAAATTCAACGCGGGTCACGCTCAACTACGCGGAATTCCCCAACATTTGGGCTATAGGATTACAATAATCTGCACTTATGGCCTGTTATGGCTGTTCGCCTTGACACCATTCAGCAAAAACTCCATCATCTATCTGCTGTACATTGGCGCTGCCTTTGTTGCCATTGCGGGAATTAGCTATCGCGCCGTTACCCATCGTCTAATGAAAGACGACGATGGTTTAAATGGATTTGTGAGCATCATTTTGTTTATGTCGCACATTTGTGGCCACGTTGTTGTGCTGCTAAATTCCTGGTCTATGCGCCATCTGCGTATTCCAATGTACGATAAATCCTACTCAATAACCATAAAACTTCGTGAGATTATACAAATTCCGTTTCAGACCAAGGTTATGGTCCATAAAATGTTGAGCTTTTCCATAGCATTTAGTTGTTTGATCGTTTTCGGACATAGTTTGATTATTGCCACCACCCTGAAGACTTCATCGGCAGCTGGAAGTCTCTATAAATATTCGCTGTACAGCTCGTTGGCTTTGCAACTGAAAACTTGGGAGATTATAACCATGATGATCCATGTCAACTATTATATTCAGATAATGCGCCAGAACATCAATGAAATGGGTGAACGTAATATCAGAAAGTTATTCTTCAATGAAATGGCGAACGCCTTCGCAAACGAGGGGAAAAAGGCTAAATTCATAAATGTCCAGGCCCATCGCCAGCAGGAGGTGGATGAAAATCAAATTGAATTACTCAAGGAATGCTACAGCGAAACCTATGCTTTGTTTCAAATCATCAATCAGGCCTATGGCTGGTCTCTCTTGGCCATCACTGCGGTGTCGTTTGTGGAGTTTGTTTGCAATTGTTATTGGGTTCTGTTGGCCCTGATAACCCAGGCATACAACTATTACAGCTTGTTCCAGAATGGATGTTTTGCCGTATTGGCATTTGTTTTGCTCAGCATTTTGTGTTGGCTTTGCGAAACGGCCAGTTATGAGGTAAATTTTAGAAAGGTTTTGATATGCTAACAACAAAGAATTGTAGCACAATTCGGAAAAATGACGGGAGGCAGGAATTAGTTAAAATTGTTGGTCCTATATTTTTAACGAATGAAGTTCTAAACATTCAGAACATTCATTCATTTCGTAAAAATGCCTGCCTGGTAGAACATTTTCCCCCATTGACATCACACACTTCCTCCCAGAAAATAGTTTTTCGTGTGGATTGGTTACCAAAATGAAATTCTCCTATTTTCACTTGCTTTCTTTATTCTAAATTATCTTCCTCTATTTTCTTTTATTTTTTTCTTTTACAGAGCCGTTACATTGGCTGCTTAATATCGAAACTGGTCAAACAACCGCTGGGCAATAAGCGTTACAATGATTTGGTTAGCGAATTTTCTGTTCAAACGCTTCATCAGCGTTTCATTGTGACAGCCAAGGAATTTTTCGCCTTAAATTTGGGTCTGTTGGGAAGTGTGAGTATATTTGTAACCGATATTTTTACATTATTTTTAAAAAATAAATAGTCAAAATTGAAAGGAGTTAGACCTACTCTTGAAGTAGTAAAATCGGTGGAATTCCATTTCAAACCTGTGATTGCATTTTAATAATCTTAAGGACCTTAAATAAAGTTGATCTTTAACGATCTTAAATGGCTAAAACGAATACATAATTTTATCTTCCCATATTTTATCACCGGGGAATTGATTACAAATCGATTCTTATTTAATATATAGTCAATTATTATTATTGCTATTATTTTTTATTATTATTGTTATTATTTATTGTTATTTTTCATTTTGTATTATTATCACTACAACATCTCTCAAATTCTTGTTTTGTTTTCAGATGGTCGCTGCTATTGTCACTTATTTGGTAATCCTCATTCAATTCATGTTTACGGAAAAGAGCAACGGGGATTCAAAAATTTCTAGCAGCAAATTGGAAACAACAACTATTGCAAATACTTTGCTGCTCACAACCTCTGCATTAAACTCAACTATATTGGACATGTTTGAAAATAATAATTAATAATTAAAAGATATAAAAGAAGGATACCTTAGAGGAAATAACTAAAAAAAGATTCTATGGCATAAAATTTCTAAAAATAATATTTAATTGTCGTTTTGAAATACACCCACATTTAGGTACAATCATGGTAGAAGAAATGTAGTCGCATCGACACAGCTGCTGGCATCATAAACTGTCAAACCAATCTAGAAATTGGAAATGTTGAATGAAACATTTTTTTCAATTCGTTAAAAATGTTGGAAAATGCATATCATAACAAACTCCAAGTAGCATCGTATAAAGCTACATATATTTGAAAAAATTCAAAACTTTTGACATATCAAAATTCCCTAGCGTTGATGCATCTACCTGTATTCTTCTACCATGGGTACAACCTAGAAAATGTCAAAGTTAGCACCTCATTTGGCCTTTGAAATAGAAAAATTCCCTCCAACTTTTTTTTAGTTTGGAAAAAAATGGAGAGAGAAAATTTTCAGAACTCGATTTCAAAATAATGTTTACCATAAGAAATATATTATATAAATTGTTTCTTCATTACCTAAATTATTATTTCAATTAATTCCAATACCTACCGCTACCTCATAAAATTAACAATGAAAATATACCATATAGTTCTAAATCAAATAGGTATTTATTTTATAATATTTTTTTCTTTTATTTATATTTTTTAATAGATCTGTTTGTAATACAATCCAATAATTTGTAATTTTTTTCAATATAATTTTTGTGTATAATTTTCATATTTTTGTTTGTATAACATTTTTATTTAATTTTCTTTTATTATTTTGTATTGTTTTTTTTACGAATTAATATAAATATAATTTTTTTGTTCATTTTTTTTGTATTATTATTTTTTAAATAGGTTTGTTCAATATTTTATTTTATTCATTTTTTTAAGGATGTGTTATCAAATAAATTTATGATAAAAATGAGAAAAATTTAGCAAGAAATTTAATAAAAATTATTTTAAAAATGCATTGAATTATAACTTTTATCAAAAGAGCTTTGGGGTAGGACAACACTTCTTTTGAGACTTCTTGAAGAAAAGTAACCAATTATTATAGACCTTATTAAAATTTTGGACACAATTTTTACCAGCCCTATTAAAATTTGAGCTGGACAACACTTCTATAGACTTCTAGATGCCAAGTAACCAATTATTAAGAGTCCTATTAATATTTGGGAAACAAATTTTACGAACCTTATTAAAATAATGATATAAGGAGATTCCTAATAATTACTGGCAACCTTGGTGTCTATAGGTGTTGTGCTTTTATGGTTTGAAATAAAAGCCAATGTTTGTTAATACTAAAGGTGTAAAGATTTATTGGATGATGAGCGTTCACAGCTACTAATTTAAAAAGAATGAAGAAGTTACGATGTAGTGAGTCAGACTCGAGTGACAGACAAAACAAGACTGAGCAAGCTAAAATGGCGGTAGCACGGCGTCCTATTATATGGGCGTTGCCGTATAGGATGTTGCAATATGAGATGCCATATTGTTAATGTGGGTTGCCCCAACATCTCCCTCCTTAAGATGAGAAGGTGATCTTGAAATAGGTTCGACTGGTTGTCTGCGACTTGTTATTCTTTGAGGTGTCCAGTTTGGTGAACCTGTTGGAGTTGCAAAATGTTCTTGATGGTTAGGCAAAGCGATTTCGAATTCTTCAAGTAGTACGTCTAATGGTAGTTTTTGTCGTTCTTGACTGCTTGACTCTACCGATTCTCTATGTCGAAGTTGATCAGTATGAGCTCGTACTAGAATTTTCCTGTCCCCAACGTCGATTAGAGTGTTGTAAATGACTTTCCCTTTACGCTCGACTATTTCGCCTGTTGTCCAGTAACTTTTGTTTCCTTTGAAGTTTCTGGCATAGACCAATTCTCCGTTGCTAAACTCTCTGTTTTTGGTACCGTGTTTGGTATTGTACTGCTGTTCCATTTTGTGATTGACGTTATACTCAGGCGATTGTTGCTTCCTTAGAACGTCGAAGACCGTTCTCATTTTTCTTCCGATGAAGGATTCTGCTGGAGACTTACCTTCTGGTGCATTTGGATTTGGTGTGGATCTGTAGACTTCTAGGAAGGTTTGGAGAGATTCCGTAGGCGTTTCTTCCCCTTCTAGTTTTTTTAATGCACGTTTAAGTGTATCAACGAAACGCTCGGCTTGTCCATTTGAACTTGGATGAAAACGAACAGTCCTTGTGTGTTTAATGCCTTTTTTGCTGCACCACTTCTCAAATTGTTCTGAACAGAACTGTGTTCCGTTGTCCGAGACCAATTGTTCAGGATTTCCGAAGAGTGCACAATATTCGTTTAACATTTTTAATGTTGCATATGTGGTTGTCGTTGTTGTCTCGTATATAACAGGGTATTTTGAATACGAGTCGATGATAAGAAGATAATATTTACCTTTTTCTGGACCAGCATAGTCTATATGTATCCTTTCAAGAGGGTGTGAAGTTAATGGCCATGGGCAAAGATTTGTTTTTACTGGACTTTTTGCCGCATGTTGACAATTTTTGCATTTCCGAACAAAGTCTTCAATTTGTTTGTCGATGTTTGGCCAATAAACATAACTTCTGGCGATGGCTTTGCTGCGTTCTGCTGATAAGTGTCCTCTGTGAAGTTGTTGTAAGATTTGTCTCTGATATGATTTAGGAATTACTATACGATTATTGAAGAGAATACAACCATCGAAGGTTGAAAGATTTTCCTTGCGGTTGAAAAATTGAATAATTGATGGGTTAATATTTTTCTTGCTTTCTGGCCATTCTGTTTGAATGTATTTGAGGACCATTTGTAAATCCGTGTCTTTTGTTGTTGCATCGACGATCATTTTAAATGATACTGGGAGAACTGACATAGTTTCATTTATCTCGTTACGTATGTCTTCTTCGAATGATATTGAAGCCACTATAAAGTCATCTGCTGGTTTTTCGTGATTGTTGACTAATCTTGATAATACATCAGCGTGACCAAAGTCCTTTGTGTTTGTGTATTTAATTTCGAAGTTGTAAGCCAGTAATATAAGGGCCCATCGTTGTAAACGATTTGCTGTGTAAATTGGAACTCCCTTCTTTGAACCAAATATTGCGAGTAAGGGTTTGTGATCGGTGTGTAAAGTAAATTTGCGTCCGAATAGCATTTTGTGAAACCGTTGAACGGCGAATATAAGGGCTAGGCCTTCTTTTTCTATTTGGCTGTAATTCTTTTCCGCTTGTGTGAGTGATCTGGAAATATGATGTATTGCCTTCATAGTGTTGTCTGGAAACATATGATAGATAACCGCGCCGATTCCGTGAGATGATGCATCGGCTGCTACATGTATAGGCAAGTTTGGATTGTAATGCGTTAAAAGAAGATCTGATGTCAAGATGTTCTTAAAGTCGTTTAATGATTTTTGACACTGTGACGTCCACTCGAACTTGGCGTCCTTTTTTAGTAGATCGTCAAGAGGTTTACGTAGTGTTCTCATGTTGTTTACAAATTTCCCGTAATGATTAATAGAGCCTAATAACGATCTTACTTCCGAGACGTTTTCTGGTGTTTTAAGATTTTGAACGGCTGCTATTTTGATTGGGTCAGGTTTGATTCCATCTTTGCTTATTATGTGTCCTAGATATTTGATTTGTTTTTGAAAGAATTGGCATTTTTCAAATTTCAGCTTGAATCCGTGATCTTGAATTCTTTGTAAAAGCTTGTTTAAATTAAATTTATGTTCCGGAATAGATGGACTTGATAACATGATGTCGTCTATATATGCTTTTGCTCCTTCTATGCCTGCGCATAGCTTATCCATGATCCTTTGAAATGCTCCCGGAGCTGATTTTATACCTGGGGTTAGACGGTTGAACTTATATAGACCTTTGTGTGTATTGATGGTGAGAAGCTCTTTACTTTCGTCGTCAACTTCGACTTGTAAGTATGCGTCTGAGAGATCTAAGTGACTAAAGATTACACAGTTGTGGCAATCAGACATGATTTCTTCCGGTGTTGGTAATGGATACTGATTAGGTTCTACTATTGAGTTTAGTCCTGTTGAATAGTCTGCACATATTCGAATTTTTCCATTACGTTTGCTGACCACTATCGGCGCTGCGTACCTCGATGAATCTACCGGTGTGATTATTCCTGCGTTTTCTAATCTGAGGAGTTCTGTTTCAATTTCCTTTCTTGCTGCGAAAGGAACTGGTCGTTTGGGAACGAATATTTCTTTTGTGTTTGGCAATAATTGTATGTTGACTTTTGTTTTGCACAGACCTGGGGTACTGTTATCAAAAACTGATTGATAATTCGTTTTCAATTCTGCTATTTCATCAACGAAGTTTATTTGATGACACCATGAGGTTATTGGTTTCTGCCATAGATTGAATGCTTGAATCCAATCGATTCCCATGATATTGAGTTTTTCTATATCTGTTATATAACATTTTAATGTTTTTGATGTTTTGTCGATTGTGACGTCACATTGAAATTCTGCTAGGAGCTTGATTGAATTTGCGTTTGCGTCGCTAGCGTTGTCAAAAGTTTCGTAGGCTTCAGGCTTACCTATAGCTTTCCATGTGTTGATAGATACAATTGATATGTCTGATGCAGTATCAATTTGAAGTTTTACAGGATTGTTGTTAATTAGGACAGTTGTGTATTTCCTTAAGTCGCGGAAATTAATGTTGTGTGTTTTGAAAACTGCCTTAGTTTTGAATGATTTCCTTGAATTGCTGTATTTCTTGAATTCGTTCTGGTTGTTTTCAGACGATGATTTGAAATTCTTACCAGTTTTAGCGATGTTGCAAAAGTTATTTTTATGACCCACTTGATTGCATGTTGTGCATTTATGTTTCTGGAAAGGACAAAATTTGACGTAGTGAAGGTCTCCGCAATACCAACAGGGTGAATTGGGTGTTTTGTGCTTCTTAAAGTCTTTTGCGTGCTTGTTGAGTGAACAGACGATTTTTGATTGATGTTCAATGAGAATGTTGTCCGATTTGAGATCTAGAATTCGTTGTGTTTCGTCTACTAGTTGATCTAGGTTCATTGTAGTGTTTTCATCATCCAGTACCTTTAGTAAGCGAAGTCTTATGTCGTTGTCCTTTGCTGACTTGAGTCCTAAGACGAAAATGAGACATTTGAATTGGTCGATTTTCAGTTCTTTCATTTTGAATAGTTCGCATTGTAGGTTTACTCTGCTTGCGTATTCTCTGAAATCTTCGCTGTCGCCTTTTGCTAGCTGAAGGCATTTGTATCTTTGTGAGACTTGTGTTTCTGTTTTACCAAAGAGTTTCTTGAGTTTCTCTACTGTATCCTTTAGAGTCATGTCTTCAGGTTTTGCTGGTAATACGTAGTTGGCAAATCTTTCATGTACTTGGTTCGACATTTTTCTCCATAACAAGGCCACTTTGTCATGTTCTTCGAGTGAGCTTGCTTCTTTTTCGAAAACATGCACAAACCTGTTGTACCACGCTTGAAATATCAGACCGCTCTCTGGCTCGTATACGAATGCTGTCATTGACTGTGCTAGTGATTCCATTAGTGCTGCTTTGGATGAATTTGATGTTTGTGGTGAGTGTGGTGAATTTGGTGCTCCTTGTGCTTGAAGAAGATCAGCCATATGCTTTAGCAGTTGCGTTTGTTGCGACATTGCTTTTTGTTGCTCTGTTAACAATTGTAGAATTATGTCTTGAGACATTTTTGCGGATTGTTGTGTGTGCAATTATTGATCAATTTCCACTATCCTCGTCGCCACTTTTGTTGTGCTTTTATGGGTTGAAATAAAAGCCAATGTTTGTTAATACTAAAGGTGTAAAGATTTATTGGATGATGAGCGTTCACAGCTACTAATTTAAAAAGAATGAAGAAGTTACGATGTAGTGAGTCAGACTCGAGTGACAGACAAAACAAGACTGAGCAAGCTAAAATGGCGGTAGCACGGCGTCCTATTATATGGGCGTTGCCGTATAGGATGTTGCAATATGAGATGCCATATTGTTAATGTGGGTTGCCCCAACAATAGGTTTGTTTGAAAACCCGTAAATTTTTCTTTTTACGAAAAATACTTAGGCTTAATCCCATTATTGTTCTTATTATAAAATTAACATAAGAATTTTGTAAACTCTCAGTAACCTAGCTATTTAAATTGCATTGCAAATTTAATCTCATTTGCAGGTCTTTGGGTAGTCTAACAAATTTCTGCAATAATTTGTTCACAGCTTTGAAATTCAGTTACAATTTAAAAAACCCCCCAAAAAAAAACAAGCCTCTCCATATTCCCCATAATCGTTTTTGGGAAAAGTTATAAAACGCTTTCCACAACTCATTCAAATTTAACACACAAATAAAAATATTGGTAAACACATGAATTAAAATTTTACAAAAAAATGCTTTTATTTTATTGTAACAACAAATTAGTGATACATTTTCGAAAAGAAAATATACATATTTTTATGATAATTTTCACAAAAAAAAGAAACTCCAAATGAATTGGCCCATTCATTATTCGAGTAAATAATTAACAAAATTAGAAGGATAATTAATAAAACATAAATCATAATAAATAATATATACAGATATAAACAAAATATATATAGAGAGAGGGAGCTTAAAAAGATAACACAGAAAATTACAACCTAAATTAATATTTACATAGACAAATAAAAAAAATAAACTTAAAATAAAAAAAATAAGATCAATAGAATACATGCACATGTAATAACATAATTATAATTTGTGTAGAGTTTTTCGACCCAAAATTTCGTGTTTTTTTTCCAATTTTCATTCACCAAAGGAAAACAATCATTTATTTTTTCTTTTATCACAAACAAATATACAAAGAATAAGAAAGCTTATAAACAATAACATAAATCTTTGGCACAGTCTATGACTTAAATTGTATTTGTTGTGAAAAAAATTGTTGTTGTTTGTTTGTATGTATCAAAAAGAATACTTATTGCATTTTTTGTTTTGCGTGGAAAACGGACATTTTTGTTTAAATTCTTATTCTTTTGTTTTTTTTTTCTTTTTTATTTCTATATTTAAACGCATTGATATGTTATTTCGTTTTTATGGTTTCCAAAAAAATATGAGAATCTATTTTAGTGTTGATGATGATGATGTGATATGACCTAATGTTGGCTCAATTGGAATGTTTGATGTATTTCGTGATGTTTTGTAATTTCATTCTTTTGTTTTTTAGTTTTTAATTTTTAAAAATACCTGTAATATTGTAATGTGCTGTAAGAGAGAAGAAAAAAAAAACGGGAAAAATAAAGAAATAAAAATAAATTGGAAAAATAATGATATAAAATTTATAACGAAAAGAGGCGTAAGCGATTTTTTTTTAAAAAATTAAGAACAATTTTTACAGAAATATTACAGAGATTACACAAAAATGACCCAGATTCTTCTCCGATTGATTTCAAATTATTTAGTTATGGAATTCCATGTCTAATTGTTTAGGCATTGTAGGTCAATATATTATGCGACTCTTAAGACACTATATCATCGCCTCGATTTAGTCAAATGAGCCTTCAGAGATCTTTATATAATGCTCAGGGTATCTTCAATGTCAACAGTTTTCTAAGCGATATTCTACAATGATTATCAAGGAGTCTTTGGAAAAGGAGTTTTGAGGAGCTTCAAAGTGAAGACGTCTCTTGAAACAAGTCGAAGGTCTTTGAGGGTTTTCTATGGTCATTACATGTTCTTTGATAATTACTAGAAGTTTTTCGAGAGCTCTCAAGTTTTAAGGAATCAGAATGGCTTCTAAAGAAACTCGATCAAGATAATGCTCATTAAAATATTTTTTATGGTTCCATAACTCTTCTTAATTTATCGAAAAAACATGTAAAAAAGCAGTAAGTTCGGCCAGGCCGATCTTTGAATACCCTCCACCATTTGAAACGTTTTTGCCAATTTTCAAAAAAATAAAATCCTTTAAAAATTCTGTTAAAATCTTAAAAACACCGAATGTAGCCATTATATTAGGGTCTACCATTACCATTACAATGTTCAAATACGAATCTTGAATAAAACAAATTTGGTGAATAATATAGCTAAAATCACCAAAATTCCTAATATAGGGAGGTAACGGTACCTATTGGGGCTGTACGAAGACGTGGACCTGCACAGACAATTTTCTGTCATAGCCTGTAGTACGCATTACGAACTTCAAATACCAAATTTGAAACAATTCCGGTGCATAATGTCGCTAAAATCATCAAAATACCGAATATCGGGAGGTACCGTTATATGGGAGATATACGAAGACGTGGACCTGCACAGACAATTTTCTGTCTTAGGCTGTAGTATTCATTACGAACTTAAAATGCCAAATTTGAAACAATTCCGGTGCATAATGTCGCTAAAATCATCAAAATGCCGAAAAAAAGGAAGGTACCATTATATGGGGCCTATACCAAAACGTGGCCCTACATCACCCATTTTCAATACCAAAAGTCCTGCAGACATAATACACATTTGAGTAAAATTTTATCAATCTACTTCATTTAGTTTGGAAGCTAGTGTGATTTCCACGGACGGACAGACGGACATCGCTAAATCGACATAGAATTGTATGCTGATCAAGAATATATATACTTTGTGTGGTCTAAAATATATATTTCGAGGTGTTACAAAAGGAATGACAAACCTAATATACCCTCCATACTATGGTGGATGGTATAATAAGAGGTGCCATTGAAAAGGAATCTGGAAAGTCTACAGAAACAAGTCGAAGGCATCAGAAATATATTCTGTCACTATAAGGCCAGTTGATGACATTTGGAAGTCTTCTCTGGTCAATTATGCATTTAAGAAATCATCTGTAAATTCTCTAAAAATGTTCGAGTTTTCTTACAAAACAAAAAATATTAAACACAAAATACGGAAAGGGCTACGAAATATACGAAAAATGTTAATTAATGAAGAAAATTTGATTTTTAATTTATAAAACTTGAAATAAATTTAATTTTTTTTTTAGCTACAATTGGCAACTAATTTAGATATTTGTTCTGTTACATCTTTTTGTGCTACGATTTTGGTTTCACCTTTTTTCGGAACCTATATCGCTTTGATTAGCCACTCTGATGTATTGGACAGGGGAAGTGTATTATTTATTTAACTGGTTTTTCCGTTTCAACAACACTACTCGGATTAGAAAACAATATTTTAAATATTTTTTTTGCTTGTTTTGTTAGTTTGGGTTAATTGCTAAATATAGCTACATAAATATATATATATATGTATTTAATAAACGTCTATAGATTTTTGTTATGCAATTATTTCAATATTTTTAATTTTGTATGTAACTACTATTGTTATGTCAAATATGTAGTAGGTATGTATGTGTTGTAGAGAAAGTAGTGTTTTCTAGAAATTAAACAATAAAAAGCTAAACAAGGTGGTTTCAATACAGGGATCAAGTTTGTATAATTGTGTAACGAAAATACCTCATTAGGAATGTTAGTTTTGTTTACATAGAAAAATAACAAAAAAAAAACATTGTAAAATATTAATAATTTAATATACCAAAAAAATTGGATTGATGGAAGCTCCAATAGTTGAATAAATTTATGTTTTTATATTTCCTTGTCTTTGTAAAACACTATCGTTTAATTAAGGCTTTAATGTGTATAGGTGTGTAGAGATTATTTGTATTCAATCAAGGCTTATGTGTCTGTTCAAAGACAATATTTCGATAAAAAAATAAAATATGAATAATGTCTTGGTTTTTTGAATAACTATTTAAAAATTTCACTCGTTTAATTTTGGTTTTTTCTTCTTCTTCTAAAATTCTTATTAACCATATTTTCTGTTAAAATTGTTTATATTCCTTTTGTTGTGGGGGGGGGTTTGTATACTCTACTATAGTTTCTTCATTTCATTTCATGTCAAATAACAACAGCTAAAACTGGTTAATTCTATATATGTAAATATTTTGTGTAGGAGTCGTCTTGTGTTTGTTTTAGTAGGTTTTAATAAATATCTAAATTATTTGAGAAAATTCAATCTCAGGGTCAAAAAAAAAAGGAGAGCTCTAAACCTAACCTCAGTTTTCAGGTTATTCTACATTGATAATAAAGAAATAAAATCTATAAAATACTTTTATTGTAATTATATAGTATAGTTATGTATGTATGTATTGTATATAAGAAAGACAGACAATGTAATTGATCCATAAATTTCTTTCAGAATTGTTCGTTTCTTTAGTTTGCATTTGCGTTTCATTTTCATTGCAAAAAATAAAACTGACTTACTTAACATTCGGATTGGCGGCTGCAGGTGTGGCCGATAGAGCCATTTTCGACAAGGTTGCTAAGGAACGTTTTTGGAATGTTGCTTGATTAGCACCGCTACCATCATTGGTATCGGAGAAAAGTTTACGGAAACTGGAAGAGAAGTTAAAAACAATTATTAGACTCATTTTTTGAAGACAACAACATAAAAACAATTGTTTTCTTACAATTTGCGAATGCCAGATTCGCTGGATTTTTTCCAAGGTGCATCATCAGGTTCATAGGGTAAAGGACCTTGTACTGGTGCATCATGTTCTGGAGGCCTAAAAAATATAATAAAAAATATATATTACATAAAAGAAATATAAAATTCTCTTTTTCCTTTTTGCACTTAGCCTAAAACATTTTTTGATAACTGATCCTCTCAATCTTTCTAAAATCCCACACTCTGCTGACAATTTCACACTTACGTTTCTGTTTGATCGCCCATCTTTTGACTGTCATCTTCACCGCCCTCAGCTCCCAGGCCATCATCATCGTCATCTGAACTGGATTCATCATTTTCGGTTATTTCCGTTGGCTTTAGTGCCCTCAATTCTTCGTTTAGATTCTCGATTGTTGTCAACAGCTCGTCTCGCTCGTTGATCAGTTCCTTTAGCTCACGTGTTGTATAACGTGGACGATTTGGATCATTTGGATCGTCATCCTGTGACATTACCAAATCTTCGTTTTCTTTCTCGGCCAAACCCAGACGTTTGCGTAAGCTATTAATATCACGTTGTTGGTCTTGCAGTTGAGCCAAGAAATCGGCACGTTCCTCGCACAGAGTTTTAACTTGAGTTTGTAACATTGTACAGCGGCGACGTGTGTCACGTCCAGATGCCTTAAAACGTTCCAGTTGGATAGTCATCTGCAAGGAGAAATAAAAGTTTTGTTTCGAATAAAAGAAAACGAACAAGGGGGTATGGGTGAATGGAAAATTGTTTTCTAATTGTTTAACTTAACTAATCAAGAAACTCAATGTGTTCCTTTTTCCCGGACATTGTAAATGAAGCCATAAAATTTAAGTTAATGGCCTACAGACATATGTCGCAGGTTCACATGAATGTGTGGGTGTGTGTGTGCTCGTTTTTGGTTTGTAGTGGTGCAATGTTGTGTGTGCTTCATGACCATGACTGACAAATGATAACAAAGTAAAACAAAACAAACAACTTTTATGTGGGTAGTGGAAACCAACAACATAAAGCTGCAAACTTTTAACAACAAAACAAGAAACTATGTTCGCATCAACGCAACAAGGATGGATACAAAAAAGTGAATTTTAAGCAAAAATCACAGGGTAATTAAAAAAATGTATTTCAAATAAAATTTTATTTAAAATTAGATCTAAGGCTTAAGATGTTTCTTTTCAGGAGTGCTTCTCAGGTAGTGAGTCACGGCTTAACCTCTAATCTAATTGACATGGCTAGTTTTGTCTATGAAAATAAGAAATTGGAAAGACTGTTCAGAAAATAAATCACTTAGCTGGGGGTTTGCCCAGTAACCCGTACTAATCCTCCAAACGAAAAATTAGCTATGCCTTAACCCTTGCAAATCGAGCTGGCTATTAGCCCTTTAGGATTAATGGGATGTGGAAAAAATAATTGAAAATTTAACGGTTTAGCGCCTGACACATTAATCCACATTCAGATATTGTTGGGAATTTCTCGATTCCTAATCTGTGGAACAGATGGAAATTTATAATACCATATCCATAACAACTGATAAGCAAATAATTAGTATTTTATATCATTGGTAAGTAAAAAAAACCTTTCCAATATAGCCAACGTGACGAAGGTCTCATCATCAATCCAATAACCATTATCTTTTTTTTGCAATGGTATTTGTTCTATATATTCTTATCGCAAAGACAACAACAACATATTGCGTATCTTTATCATTGCAAATAAAAAAAACGTATATCGATCGATATTCTCACTACTCACATGTTCAATTTCTTTATATTTGCTTTGCAATTCTCGTTCTTTCTCCTTCAGCTCGTCCCGCTGCCGATAGATTTGTTCTTTGAGACGTTGCAATACTTGGGTATCACTTAATGCACTGTGCAATTCATTATTGGTAATACTGATGATGCTTTCCGTTAGGCTGGCACCCAAACCCGACGAATGGGCAGACGAGGATTGCAGATCTTGAGTTTGTTTTATTAAGCGTTTATTTTCTTCCTGCAGCGACGTTACCAAATCAGCTAAATCATTCGTTTCCGTACGCCATTGTTCTTCGATCATTTCCAACTCCTTTTCGAAGCGGCGACGAAATTCGGCTTTTTCATTTTTTTCACTTTCCAACTGGGCAATTTTTTCTTTCAGCTCCTGTATGGTGGCATTTTCACGTTCATTTTTGGTAGCCAAGGCTTCCAGCAATTCCAGCGTGTTAATGATTTTGGGCATGAGGCCTGTAATAAAAAAAAAACTCATTTGTAGCAATTTTCTAGAATCAGAACTTTATTTTTCCTACCTGTCGCCGCCTCAGTCCCGAAACGATCAATGATTTTCTCATATTCCTTGCCAATATCCGAGGCCAAATCATAAACGTCCACTACTCCAATGTCATCAATTGCATCCACCACCATTTCACCAATTTCATTGAAATGAAAACCTGGCATACGGTAAAAAAGGTGTTTCCTTGCTAACTTCAGTGACTGCGTGCGTCTACCACTGTGTGAGTCTGTTCGTTTGATGCTCTTATTATATTCAGATAGGATGATCTAATCAAAATTCTTTGCCTTACAACCAACCCCCTTTCCACACAGGTAAGCAGGTGAATAGGGTAGTCGTTCGTTTTTGGTGACTGTGTGACACACAGACCTTGCGATTACTCTAATTTCTACTTTTACTTAATAAATAATAAACGACTTTTATCTTGCGGCGGTTGTTGTATGCTGCAAACTGTCTCTTCTTGCCTTGCCCAACCCGGACACTTTGGCACACAGATGATTTGATGATTTTCTGTATATACGCAACGCAAAAATTTAAGCACCTTTTTTGTTTTTGGACAAAACTCTATTCGATAGTTGATTGTGTAAAGGAAATGCTGTGTAAAAAGATAGCGTTGTTGTGGCTTAAAACAATTGACGGCTCGCAAATAATTGGAAGGATTGTTTAGCAGAATTAATTTATTTTCTTGTATTACTAAGCTTCTTTGCTCTTTTTGCACAAACAACTTCTATCCGATTTGTATCTAATGCTAAGATGCACAAAATAGTACATTTTCGTCGATGTCGCGTTCGTGTGTATTTTTATTCTCTCGCTTTCAGTCGTTGATGAGACTTCAACGGATACACACATGCCTGGGCGGTGCACGCATTGTTTTGCCGTGAACACTTAGAGAAAACAAATGACAGATTTAATGAGACTAGATGCGTAGGGAAAATATGAATATGTTGAGTTGTTATTTTATGCTTTTGGAAATGTACAGTGCGTTTTGTGTTACAAAACGTTTAAAAGGAAGAGGGGAGGTGACCTAAAGACACATTTTCATAAAGCCCACAATGCAGTCAGTTGTTTAGGCGAAGATGAAAAGAAACGTCTTTTTGAGGAAAAACAAGAATTTTTTATAAATAAATAAAACTAAATAAACTACATTTTCACATATTATTTTTCAATGTAAAATAAACACATTCAAAAATTTCTTGAAACATTGAATTACAAAAGAAGTTATTTTATACAAATTCTATGTATTTTAATTTATTTAATATTTTAATTGGAATACCTCCATACTTATATTTTCCTAAATAATTCGAAACCCAATTACATAAATACTATTTTCATTTTATTTTCATAAAAAAAACGTTTCTAGTCACACATGTGTTCGCTGTCCAAGCATCGACCGCTTGCTGTAATCAAAAATTTCTTTACGTGCATTTTTGTTTTCTCTCACACCTACAAGCGCAATGTTCATTTTGTGCATCATAGATCTAATGCGAGAATGTGAGGGATGTGTAGGTCGACTTTCGACTAAGCGCTATATCGCTAGACAATCGATAAGGTGACAATGTCATCGATATTATATTATTCGATGATGCAACCAAAATAATCAGTTACAACTAAAAAATAAAAAAAGGAGTGAACAATTGAGCTAGTTCCGCGCTCTTTTAGTGAATGTGTTCAGTTTTCCTAGTTTTCCTCATTTCTCATTCGTAAACAACAGAGTACAGCGGGATTTTGCTTTCTGTTTATTTTTTTTTGTTGGGGCATCTTCCATTTCTGTTGCCCACGCGCGTTTTCGCTCTGTTTTGCAACAACACAATAGGACAGAATAACAATAACAACTAACTCATCTCACCTCAACAAGGACGTTGGTACTATTAGCATTGACAAATGAAGATATAGACAACGAAAAGAAAAAATGACTATGCCAAACACGATGAGAGCCACCTGGATAAAAAGACAATACTAACTTTTCATTTGTCTATGACAACGAAATTGCAATGAGAACATAGCATAAGTCGAACAAACGATCTATGTTACCCTGACAACTATTCTTTAAAAACTGACATCTGAAAAAAAAATCGATTTACCTATCCCTAATTGACATCTGAAAAAAAAACAACAAAATTGCAGTTTTCGTTCGTAAAGTGCATTGAACAACATTAGAAAATCTAAAAAAAAGTAAACAATTGAAAATAATTTTAACACCACAACACATAAATTATTACGCAAACAAGAATTTGCAAGAAAATGTAAACAATTTGCATGGAAATGTAAAAACAGTGTTGTGTATTGTCACCTTATCTTGAAAGGCGTATCTAGCAAAGCAACTGTGTGCGCGTGTGTGTGTGTGTGTGGTGTTATTTGTGGGTGAATACAAAAATCAAACGGCCCCTTGCCAAGAAACTCCAACAAACCGAAGAAGAACGAAAGAGGAAAAGGGCGCTAATTGTTTAATTGGTTGGATAGGTGGTGGTGATTCAAGTTTTGTTATTATTCGGGCAAAAATCCCCTTTGTTTCTAAAAGTGATTATCCAAGAAAAGAAGCTATTGAAGGCAATAGGAAAATGCTTAAAATCGATAAAACTGTGGAATGTAATTCGGCCATTATGGAGCCCTGCGATTCGTTGACCTTCTACAGGGTAAGTAAGCTAAAACTGAAGGATGTGATTTAATTAGAAAACAAGACTGGTGGTCTTGGACTGGCGATCGATCGATAGATCGTACGTCACGTTTTCAGCGATTTACGTATTGCTGTTAGAAAAACTAATGTACTCGTATGTGTGGTTTGCACATATTTTATTAACTATTGCGTTCTAATAATATGGAAATCAGTAGTAGTATTAAACGTTGTTTTCCTTTGTTTAAGCTGAATTCATTAACATTGGCCTGATAAGCCAAGCCCCGTTTTTTTTTTCTTCTGAAACTACGTAGGTATGGCGGTTGTGGCTGTGATAAGACAGCTGATTTTTACAACAGCTGTCTTCTCCAAAGACCATTGAATAAAACTCAACAGTCCTAGTACAAAACTTATTCAAAGCCATTTAAATGTTCACCAAATCCGGTCCTGTAAAACACATGCATTTCTTCTAGATCTGGAGGGTCCATATTGGATATTATTCCATAAAAAATCCTCCTGGCCGAAAATAAAACTATTTTCACTTTCATGACAACATGAGAAAACAATTCCTTAAACTCTTCCCACGTTTCCCACGTTCTATGACGTTGCACTAACGGATGTACCTCAGACATTTTCAATTCATTTCCTATTAATAGACATACTTACACATCATTCTACACGCAAAGAATCACAACTGTCGCATAGCACACATTACACGCCGGTCGGTAGGCGCTGCTCCCGCCATTAAATCCAACATTCCCACCCACCAAAGCTAGTCCACCCCTCAAAAGTTTATTGACTCGCCAATGCATTTGTGCCCTTCTCGTGCCGGCAAGGTCTTTCATTAGCTGCCGCTACTGATAATGCTAAGATGATGTAGCAGACGATTGTCTGACGAAAAGGAAATGAAGCGAAACAAATTTAGTAAGAGTGTTCCAGTTACCCAGCCAAGCCATATTGGTTGGTTGGTTGGTTCTTTGTTTAACATTATCACTGCTTTTAGACGCATTTTTATTTTGTTTTGATTTGTGTTTTTTTTTTTTACATGAAGAATATAAAAACAATAATACAAAGCGAGAAAAAAACAACACAATCTACACGGACTACCGACCAATACACTAACAGAATATTTTCGAAATTGTTGTTATTAACCACAAAATATTGTTTTTGATTTTTGTTTTTTTATATGAAAGCTTATTGGTTAACGTCCAGTAGTATTTTGCCTCAAGTCATTCAGTGTTCGGGTGTTGCGCTGCGCATTTTTTATTTTATTTTCTTTAACAAAGAAGAACCTAAAAATAAAGGGGAGATCTCCGTTTTTGTTGGGTTTTTATTCGGAAAGTAAATGCAATTGTTGTGAAATACCAGCCGGAGAAAAGTCCTTGGCCATAACTTCAATAGTTTACGAGTTTACATCTTTCATTCAAACATTTGTACTTGTTGATTTGTAGAGAGAGAAAGAGAGCGAAGAGTAAAAGCACAACAAAAGCTAGATGGCTTTTATGAAACCCATCTCAGAGGTGAGAACTAATGCCGTTATTATCTTAAAAATGACAAAGCACAAAAGGTGTGCTTTTTGAGAGGAAGACACTGAGACATGACGTTGTAGATCTCACTTTAAAAATGTCCCACCAAAGGAAATGCATAGAAGCACCAAACATTTAAAAATTCCAAACTTTTCCTCTTTGCCTTTTCAGGAAGAAGCATTACGACCCGACATTGTTTGCGATGCTGATTTTAGATCCATACCCTTCACCTCAACCGATTATGAAGTCATGGACAATTCAACGGATCGCTCCTTTCTCTTGATGGATGCCAACGAACATTTGCACATTGCCACCCCTGAATTGTTTTGCAAAAAGCTGCACTGTCCTGATACTGCCAAAATTAAAGTGGTTACCATTTTTGGCAATACCGGCGATGGTAAATCACACACCATGAATCATACGTTCTTTAAGGGTGAAGAGGTTTTTAAAACGTCACCAGAACAAAATTCCTGCACCCTGGGTGTTTATGCGGCAATGCAAAATGAAATTGGTGTGCTATGTTTGGATACGGAGGGTTTGTTGTCCACTTCATCGAAAAGTAATCAACGCATGCGCATGTTACTTAAGGTAAATTTGTTTAAATTCTGAATTTATTCAAATAAATATTGTAACTATCCCTTCCACCCCACCCCCACAGATTCTAGCCATATCAGATATTGTGATATATCGCACACGCTCAGAACGATTGCATAGTGATATGTATGAGTTCTTAGGCACTGCTTCGAAGGCATTTTGTTTGCATTTCTCCCAGGCCTTGCAGTCGTTGTCGATACAAGGCTCTGCCAATTTGGGACCAGCTGTAATAATATTCCACGAAACAAGGCATACAAAACCCTTGGAAAATTGTAAGCCCAACCATAGCTTATTTACCAAATTAAAGTACTAATACCATCTCCCCCTCCCTTGCAGCTGTTGAAGAAAGTGCCGAGGAGAAATTGCGCGAAAAATTTGCCCGTCTAAACTATGACATCAATGCTTTCAGTTCACTGCGTTATGTGGGTATACAGACCTCTTCCAACGGTTCAACCGATTATAACAAACTTATTGCAGCTTTACGTGTGGATTTGGATAATACAACAGTGCGTTCGGCACGCCAGCCCAGCATTATCTTTAAAGCCATGAGGGCCTTGAATAAAAAATTCTCTGGTGAAATTGTGGAGAGATCTATAAATCCCTTTCCCGAACAGTATTTCACATGTCCCATATTGTGTGCCTCATGTAATCGCCGTTGCCAGCGTTCCATGGGCCATGAGGGAGAGGACCATTTGAATTTAAATCCCTGCCAGCACCAGCATCAATTCGAAAACAAGGTTGAGCTGTGTAAAGTGTGTTATAACAACGGACGTGAGGTGATTGTCACACGCATTGACACATGGACTCACAGCGTAATAAACTGTCCACATTGTGGCGAAATAGCCAAGACATTTAAATATTGGAGTGGCACACAAGAATGCGATGCCATTCGGACCCAGACAGTGCATATTTGGAAGGATAGTAACATATCGCCCAAAGGACCTTCCCATTCGGGACAAATGGTCTTGGACAAGGTGTCCTATGTGTGCGAGGCCCTGACTAATTTCTCATCACAGCCAACGGGGGTACTAAAAGAATGGTGTGCCGACAAGGTTGCCCCCAAATATTGGAAACCTAATCATGAAATTGTGGTAAGTAATTCCAGAATAAATGGCTGTTATACCAAATAAATTGTCTATCCGATTTTCTATTGTTGTAGAATTGTTTTTCTTGCAAGAAAAACTTTGATAAGACTGGCCTGCGCAAACATCATTGCCGTGGTTGCGGTGAGGGTTTCTGTGATGCCTGTTCTAAGCATAGAATGCCAGTGCCGGCCCGCAAATGGTTTGAAAATGTCCGTGTGTGCAATGATTGCCGCCAATTCCTACTTAAACATCCCAACTCCATGCCAGGTATGTCCGAAATATGATTTAAGCCAATCAGAAAACTTTATTAATACATGTATATGTGTGTATGTATATGCAGATCAAGAAGAACAAACTACTAATGATAATACTACTAACTCTCAAAATCATACTGCAGGATCAAGTAATGCTGATGCAACAGCAGCAGCTCACGAGGAAACAGATGTAACCGTACGTAAATGTGGTGAAACGCTTTACAACACAATCAGCAATGTGGCGTCGGTAGCTTTGGAATGTACCAAAGGTAAGGATGGATGGTCACATAAGTGGTATATTGATGTCTAATGCACGATTTGTTTAGATATCATCAAAGATACAGCTAGACCTGATTATTGGGTACCCGACTCGGAAGCCCTTAGTTGTCACATTTGTAAAATGAAATTTGGCACTGCCGAAGAATTATTGGCCCTAGCCATGTCCAATGCCAATGAGAGAGCGCAAAGTCCTCAACGTTCCTTTAAGGGAGGCGACTGTAAGCGCCATCACTGTCGCAAGTGTGGTCAAGGAGTCTGTGCCGAGTGCTCAAAATCTCGGCGCCCTGTACCTGAACGTGGTTGGCTGGATGATGTACGGGTTTGTGATGAGTGTGTTAGTGATAATGTGAATACAACCGTCGGAGGTTCATCGTCGTCGTCGTCGGTGCCGCCAGATAATGCCACACCACGTACCAATAGCAACTGCAGCAGTGGTGGTGGTGGTGGTAGTCAGCGCCAGTCTGAGGTTTGTTTTCTGGATGATCCCAAAACCAAAGTTGAATAATTTTGTTAACTTTGTTTATTTGTTTTTTAAATACCCCCACTTACTGGGCATTGCTTTTAAAGACGTTTTAGTGGTTACCTGCCCCTGAAGATACTACCTTTTGTTTATTGTTTTTTATTATTATTATTACTATTATTATAAATCATTACTTTAGAGTGTCTTCGTGTGATAAACAACATCCTTATTTATACCTATATATATGTTGAACAAAAAATATCATATACATATTGATATATGTAAGAAAGAAATGAATTGAAAGGTTAGTTCAAAACTATGTTACAAAATACAAACTTGATTTCAAGATATTTTTAAAAGACATAATGCGGTTACTTTTTTGTGGTTGACATTGATTTAAATTGATACAATAAAAAGTACAATGTTTAATTTTAAATATAAGAAATATAGGCTATAATTAACTACGAAGCAAAAAAAAAGTACGTCTTCAAAGAAAGTATACCACTCTGGCTTCACTAACTAAAAGAGAATTCTGCCCCTTTAGGACTTTTCATACATTCTCAAGTGTTCCACAATTTTTGCTTGATTCCTGAAGGTTTGTGCAAATATTTCCGTAGCATCTTTTACCACCATAAAAGGTTCTGCAAAATCATTAGCTTCACTTTTATCAAATATTTCCACATCAATAAAACTTGATGGTAAGTCATTACTACTTGTCACAGCATAGTGTTTGACAATGAGGTTAAATATATCTACAACGTAGTCCTCACTGGCCTTAAATGCAACTAACAGATCCACGGTATATTGTAAGAATAGACGTTGTACCACAGGCGATACAACATTGTTTTTTGGGGAAATTTTCAAACATTGTTGCTGACAATTTCCACGCAAACACAAATCTGTTTCGTTCGTTAGACAAGAAACAACCAGTTTGGCACTGGCATCTCTTATGTCATAGTCATCGTCCATTAAAAGATCCAACACAAGTTTGATATATAAATTTATAAAATCTAAACGTTGCAGCTTCAAACATTTTCGATAATGAACGGCAATGTGTTTTAGGCTGTTGGCAGCTTTGATCCTTGAATTAGAAGAATGTTATTTTAAAATTTCCCAAAGTATATTACACTTAATACCTACCTCAAACAATATGGCTGTGAGGGATGGGCGATTTCTATTAAATATTCCAGACATTTTTGGGCACAATCATAGTTAACTCCACTGCTTTGCAAGACCCTTTCCACACACATGGTCAGAGCTGATTTTACATCGTTTTTATGCTGCTTTGCCTTTTCCAAGAGCTGCGTTAAAGTAAAATCGAAGTGTCTTAGCTGACTCAAAATAGCGTAAGCTTTCTTGGCGGCCTCCGGATAATATTTGGGTATGTCAAGTAGTTTTCTAAGCGAAATTTTCAATGCCTTGCTATTTTTCAACTCCGACGATAGTTCTTGTAATGTCTCTTCATTTAAGCATTTAATAAATTGCACTTCATTTGGTAGTATTTCAAATTCAGCCAACATTCCCTCGTCGTAGCTGTTACCCGCCAATGAAAGCAAAATAATATTGAGACACGTTTCTGATTGTTCCAATGGCAACAGATTTACTGGTGGCTCTAAAATATAGTCACTCAAAGCCTCTGCAGGCAACGTCAAGCGCATGTTGTGTAGGTTATACAAGAAATTTGATTTATATTGCACGGTGTAATAAAAGCTACGTTTGGGATTCATTTCTATTTCTGTTGCCAAAGAAGAAAAGTATGCTAGATATTGCACTAAACCCTGTTTACCATTTAAGGACGATAGACTGGAAGAGCAAAGAATTTAGTATCCAAAAAGTATAGCAGAAAAAAAAACACCCACCTGCCTAAAATTTCTATGAAAATATCCGACATTGTTTTCAATACAACCACATTTTGTAGACCGGTACGTTTATGAAAACACACAAGTGTGCAGCAGATATCCATCGCTAGGTCCTCATTTAAAATTGAGTTGTTGTTTTTCAATAAAAAGTAAATCTGGAAAAAGGAAGATTCATGATCGAAATACTAAATTAATTGCAAACGAAATTAGTTACCTGTAGCATATAGCCATGTAAATGGTTCAGTTTAAGGTCACTTCCATCAGCCATACACTGGAAAATAAGGAGAAAAATTCTGTCTCATAGCGATATATTTTTATAAATCAAATTTCTGTCAAAACTTACCACAATTTCCGCACATTTTTCTCTCAACAATGTTGTAACTTCATCCTTGTTAACCAAAGCAGCAATAGCTTTGGCGGCCAAATAACGTGTCTGCATTTCTGGACAACCACCGCACTCCGAGATGAATGGTATAAATTGGGATAGCTTCAAATTCGATTCGGTACCCTCCAAGGCCGAGACATACAAACGACTTAAGACCAATAGCAATGGATGCAACTTATGGGCTTTCTGCTGTTGGGCAATAAGCTCACTTGCCCTCTGCAGCTCTTCCAAAAAGAAGTCATATAATTTGGGATAACGCAAAAAGAAGACACGTCCCGTCATTTTATTACGAATATTTAGATTTTCCGTATCTTTGGTACGTTGCACACCAAATATCCGTGTCATTAATGAGGCAAATAGCAGTGTAGCTGAATTTTTCTCCGACCAATTGCTGGCATCATATCCGTTGATGGCAACTGTTATACCCTGTGAAACATATTCACCCACAGCTTCATTTAAATCCGAGCAACGGAACAAAGCTCTTAATATATTCAAGGCATGCGTACGAGATTCCGAGCTGTGTTCCTTGCCAGAAGCCAATTCCAATAGGTGTTTCATACAAAACGCCAAAGATTTAATCGAGCCCACCTTCAATTCTGAGGTAATTAAAGCTTGAACCATAAATGGCACGCCAGCACTGCGGCGAGTAGCGCATATTTTACCATTATTTACATCTTCTTGAGAAATAATTGATATTAACTCATTTAGCCACATCATTGGCAGGGTATTCAACTCCGCATTCTCCACAGTCCAGAGGCGACAACAAAGTTTTGAAAATCCTACATAGGCCTGTTCAAAAGCGCCACGATGTTTGGTCTCCGAGAGCAATAACTTGAAATGTTCGCCAATTTCCAAAATCTGCGATTTGGTTATGAGAAATTCCTCCATTTCTTCAGTGAATTGTATGGGGGAATTCAAAACAACATAACCCAAAATGAGAGAGACTTCTTTCACGGTGCGCCAGGCACAAAGTAAAACCATTTGGGGTGTGGTTTTGAGGGAAGCTAAATCAGATTTACGTAGTTTTGAGGATAATATTTTACAGGGAGCAGATTCTGAATCAAGCGAGTGCTACAAAAATACGCAAATGTACATTAATAAAAATATATATTCCTCAGAAACTTATTACCTTCTTCTCCGTTAAAATATCCTCTGGGAATTCCCCAAAATCATTGGGCAAATGACCTTCCGGTGATGAACTATTTACAATTGGCGACACCACATCTGTTAAATCCTTACAGATGTTTATCAATTCGCTGATCAAACTACGCCATTCAGACTCCTTTGCCAATTGAGAAAAGTGTATCTTTGCTAATAAGTGTTTAATTGCCAGTAGTATGCCGTATAATGGATTCATTTTAGCAGCCTCCAAAATGCTTACGCGGGCCAACGCTAAACCTTCCTTCAAATGATTTAATAACCACTTCAAAGAAGCAAAATATGTTGGCAAATAACGAGGCAATTCATATTCTCCAAACATTGAAGGACAACCACGATGACACAAAAATTCCAATTGATATGAGGCAGTAACAGAATCTGTAGGCTTCACAGATGTCAAAAGATCCAAAACGTCATTGAGATCTATTTCTAATTGGTATTCCTTCAGCAGTTCAATATCCGTGGCATTATCTTGTAGTAATTTCAGCATATTAACAGCCAATTCATTGTTAGATTCGTAGGAATCTCTTAGGGTTTCATACAAGACTTTAACGCTTTGGTTTGGCAGCAAAGATAAAAGTTTCAAGCCACAATTGTTAACAATTTCAAATGATTGCTGCAGCAATTGCAGGGATACTGATCTGCGACTGAAGTTGGCTCCTTCGAAAAGATTTTCCACCAAGATTTTCATAAATGCTTTGAGGAAATTAAGTTCAAGCAATTTTTCTTGTTGCACTTCTTTTCTCTTTAGGAACTTTTGCAAACCCAAACTGCAACGATTTAAGGCTTTCGTTAACAGACCCAATGATTTATGTCTTGTGGCTGGGCATTGGGTATTTACATTGTATTGCAAGTACACAATTATCAAGTCACATTCCATCTGCGTCAGGGGTTCTGTGGTTTTATGCGTCTCCACCAAGAGCCTAAGAGCCATAATGCGTGTCTCATCGTCATTGGATAAAATACTTAACTGCAAATGCCGTGAGAATTGCTGCATAATTTCCCCATAGTTGTCAATTTTAATACCTGATTTACGCACAGCCCATAGAGTGGAGAGTTTGGTGCTTATGGGAATGGCTTGCTGATCGTTTTGTCTAAAAAGTATACTTTGGACAACACGACTATCACATTTCACCGCTTTAACTATTAGAGTTTCTATGTCAGACAAACGCGAATCTTGAAAACTGGCTATATTTAGTAAAAATCCAATCCAGGTTTTACACCATCCATCAAATGCCTGCTCCTTGTAGTTGGCCATCATTAAAGCTGAAATAAAACGAAATTATGAATTGCTAACAAATTAAATGAAACTCTTACCTTCATATAAATTATTAACAATAAAATCTTTTCCCAAATTCTCGGCAAATAATTTGGCAAAAATGGTTTTACAATTATCTAAAATATTATCTGCACCCAAAACATAGGAAACTTGCTGCAATATTACGCATTTCACCGCCAATGACAATTTGTCCGAGTTGCAGGCTTGATAGATATTATTTATCAATTCTTGGTAATCCAATTTCTTGGCAGCTGCCACAACATTACGCATAAGATCCCTACACAAATGTCTGACACTGTCCATGTGATGTTCCATAAATGCCACTGAAAATTCCATTAATTTATTCAAAATTTCATGGCTATCCACCTTTGAACTTTCCAAGGCAAACTGTAGGGTTAATTTAGATATTTGATAAAGAGCTCTTGTGGCACACAGTAAGATATTTGGCACAGTTGCATTGGCATTAGCAATTTCATCAATTTTTTTACATATCGCCAATATGTTAATGGAATATTTTTGGAAATCTTCGGCATTGGCGGTGTTTATAACTCCCACACATAAAGCAATTTCATTGGGGCTTTGTATATCCTGGGCTTTTAGGACAAAGCTGTCGTATTCATTAAAAAGCCTTGCTATATTAGCCATTAACATGCCAGCGTTGGTACGTGGGTCCATAGGAATGTCACCATCCAAAACAATATCCCCACAAAGTCTGGTAAGGTTTCTCAACTCTTCAGGATGTGTTATCTTCAAAGACTGTCCAAATTCTTGCGTACAAGTCAAAAGTATTCTCACGGAATTGTGGACATACATGTAGTATTCGTTACGTACTGACGGTGAAGTTATACTCCTATAAATGATAAATTATCATTATGTATATATACTGAAACCAGTGGAAACTACTTATTTACTTACTTCAATTCTTCCAAGTATTTACCAACAGAAATATAGATTATCAAGAACACATTTTCTATGTTTAAACCCAAAGCTTTGCGACCACATTCGAAATTCTCAAAACATCCAGACAGTGAAACTATGTTCGTGTTCCATTGTATGCTCGTGGGATTGGCTTTTGTTTCCTCCACAAGACTTTGTATGCTTTTGCTTAATGATCTCACAATTGAAGTTTCGGTTAAGCTATCAGCATTTACTGTGAAAGCATTAACTAAGAGCCTGGAAAAAATCAACAATATTTATGGAAATCATACATGATTGTTTGTGACATACTTAACGATTTGATTGCGCACAGGATGTTTTAAGGGACTGCTAAATAAAAGGTCGCATAAGAACTGAAGTACATCTTCATTATCTTTGGCAGCTCCATATATCTGCAAACGAACAGAATTAGAACTATAACCGCAGAAAAATGTATAGGAGTACCTACCTTTTTAACACAAGCCACCTGATCTGGTACAGTGGCGCATTCGGCGAACTCCATACAAAATATGCCATCAGCTAAGAGAGAAATAACAGAAAATTTAAATTAAATGCAAAATTTTAATTAAATACAGGTGTTGTAGAAGAAAGGTTTCTTTTTTCCTCCCCAAACCCTTTTGACACTTGGTTTCGTTCATAATTGAAAATGTTCATGAAATTCGCGGTAGGTCATGAAACGACCCATGGTACTCATTTCGATTCTCTTTAAAAAAATATGTTCTCTCTCAATGTGAATTTTGTGTTGCTGCCACTCTTACCTTGATATTGGGCCGGTAATTTTACAATAGCTGCCCTCATTTCAGCATTTTTTCGTACATTTTCATTGTTTTTAACAGAAGAAACCCTTAGGTTTAATGCGTTCATTTCTTTCGTTTTATTTGTGGTCCTTATATTCAGAAAAAACAAAAAAAGTTAGTATCAACAACACTCTCTCCCATGTGTTTGATGTTTTCTGTTTAGTTAGAGATGGCAACTAGAGATATGGTCAAGGTATTATCGATATTATATTTATTGTTTTAGAATCGGTTGCTTGTAACGAAAATTTTTATAAGAATTCTAGTTTTATTCCATAAAAAAGCGATATATAAAAAATGGTATTAAAATACATTACTAAAAATTAATAAATTTAATTTTAAGCTAATGTTAAATTTAAAATAAGTACATTTATTTTTGAAACAGAACAAAGGTTTACCTAGATCGAAAGGATCCCTTGAACTTGACATTTCTCAACAGCTGACACTTGAATGTAATCGATGAATGTCAAATCGATTTATCGTTTGAATTACATCCCTAGCTGTTATGCAAAAACGCCATTTGTCAAACTTGTCAGCAGCAATTGGGTAAAAATTAAATCATTTTCTTTTTTTCTGATGTATTATAGATATTTTATCTGAAACTCATTAAAAATATAACTGTTAATTTTGTTTAGCGATAATTTGTAAATAATGGATGCTGCTAAGAAGCAAGATATGCCCCCACCAGGAGGCTATAAGAAAATTCCCTTTGCCCGTGTGCCTGCCAAAGTTTACTTCACAGGTAGGGGGAAATTTATGATTCATTTGCCGAATGAAATAATTGGAGTATTAATGACATTTTACAGGTTGGCAAATGTTGGGAACATACGCTGCTGTTACCACAGTAGGGTTGTACATTTACTATTTGAACGCCAAGATGATTAAACGTGAGGAAATTGAAATGCGTTCGGCTGAGAATGTCATTTTCCCCGTTTTGATTGCTGAACGCGATCGTGAATTCTTGAAGCAATTGAGACGCAATCGTGATGAAGAAGCCAAGTTAATGGCTAATGTTCCCGGCTGGGAGGTAGCTCAAGTAGTTTAAGCAAGCTTTATAAAATGCTAAGCAATTTCTTTTTGTTTTTACAGGTTGGCACCTGGTACGGCGAACCTATTTACAAAACATTGCCCAAGGATAAATTGGTTAGCCCCAGCTTCCAAGAATTCTATGCCCATACCGACTGGAAGGCCCTTGCTAAACGTGCCCACATCAAATTGTGGTCTTAAATATTTTATATGCAACCATCTGGTCCATTTTGGAAAGATGATGGAACTGTCTACTAAAATGCAGCCAAGCTTTTCTTTAGTTTTAAATTTATAAAAAGAGCGTGAGTGGTTCCTCGGAATCCCCATAGGAAATTGTTGAATAAATGGTAACTTTAAAAGAAAGAAATTTGAATTGAATATTTTTTTTAAGACATTTTATACCATTGCTGAACAAGACCAGACAACTTGCTTTTCTCCAAGCAACTATTTTCTTTGTTGTCATCAGCATTTATTGTCTAAGCGTGAAAATTTTAAATTGCATTGCAATCAAATTCAATTATGTAGTTTTTTTCATTTATTTCATAACATTCTATTACAATCATAGAAAAATTAAAACTGAATCTTGCAAAAAATTGTCCAAATTCCTAAATAATTAAAAATGAGCACCATAACAAAACTAATTATGTTTAAACGAAAGCTAAGTGCTATTTGTTAAATGATGTTCTGTTACAAATCAGTAGCAGTGGCTAAAAAGAGAGAGGTTCTTATATATGTAATTAAAAAAGAATTTCAAATATAGATATCTTTTTGTAGAGTAAATACAAATGAAAAAATACAACTTCTGCTAGGCCTACTTTAAATCTCGTCGCCGTTTGATGGTACCGTCACATGTGGGGATGTGACGCTGCAGGAAACCCTCAAACACGAATTTACGGCCACAACGTTCGCAGGAGAATTCTCGCTTTTCATCGACCATCTGTTTGTGTTGTTTCAACACTTCGGCATTGGAAAATTTCTCGCGGCAGGGATCACAGGCATAGCGACGCTTAACTTGTCCCGCCTCAAAGGCCACTGTGAAGTTCTGCGAACAAAACGAGCATGTGTATTCTTTGACCACCATTTTTTTGAATCCATGTTCGACCTGCAATGCTGCGGCCTCTGCTTCCAGCTTGTCTTGGTGTTTATGCTGTTCCATGTGGGCTTTGTACTTTTCTTCGTCGATGAATTTGCGATAACAGCGTTGGCAACGTTTTGGTCCCTCGCCCGTATGTCGCAACATATGTTCTTTAAGATAACTAACCGAATTGAAGACTCGATTACATATATTACACTTCCTTTGGTCTTCGGGGACTTCTGTCTTTTGGCGCATACATGCTCTCATGTGGAGTTTAAGCGAGCCTGCAGCACTGTAACAGTTACCACAGTTGGGACAGTAAAAGGTTTTGTTATTGCGGTGAATGATTTCGGTGAGGCCAGCATCAGTGATTTCATATTCCTCGGTGCTGCCCAAACTATCGTCATGGCCACCCTCCGATGTGCCAGTGGGTACAATGTGCAGTATTGTGTGACTTCCATCATCCTCCACGGTCTCCACCTCTTCAACTGAGCCACCATCTTCTGTAATGACCTGGTGTATGGCTATGGGACGACCATGTTCGTCGATAATCACCTCCTGTGTTTCCTGAATCACTTCAGTTTGATGTCTCTGGCTATTCAGGGAAGCCACGGCCGCCTCAGCTTCCTCTGTTGTGGCAAATGTAGCATAGGCATATTGGGGCTCCTCGCCTGAGCTAGGGTCGTGTATCAGCACAGGAACGACCTCTTCTTTAATGGTGCCATTTGCTGTCGTTGTTGTCAATGTCGCGTACTTGGTTCGTTTGGCATTCATTGTTTACCTTTTTTTGGAGGATTCTAAGAGTTTCCAGATGTTGCCCAAACAATGCAAGAAAAATCAATTGGTCAACTCTATCAAAAAATATTTGGTAAAGAGGTACCGTCCCGAAGAGAAAATTCTGTGTTGAAAAATGATGTCTACTCTGGTTTGGTTACACACGCAATTTGGCAACGTCTTGTCACTTTTATTTTCTTCATTTTTCAAAATGGTGGCCTACCTAAAGACAGGGTTGTATTTGTGTGATTTGATAGAGAAGGGAAATGCATAGCTGTACGGTACAGTGTTGCATTGGCTGGTGAGAGTAACCACAGACCGTTACGGTTTAAATGTTATTTTTGACAAGGGATAATATAATCTTTAAATATGTTTTTATTTATTGAAGCATTTAGCGTGTGAATTTGCAATAGCAAATTGTAAGTGATGATGGCGTCATTGTCTCGAAGTGGGAATTGTTAATAATATGACCGTTTGAACATAGCAATCACCTGAATATATTTTTTTTGATAGACTTGCAATGTCAAGCCATAGATACATTTTTTTATGGAAATGTATTGAATAAAAAACAAAATAATTTTGAAATTTTTTCATTTTTGATGAAATTTAAATTTTTTCAGGTTTTGAGTAGAATAATTTTTGTCATATCGGTTATCGTAATAATAACATTTACGTTTTTACAGTTCCGGAGTGGACCAAATAATGGCCTGATCATGGAAAAACTAAGAAGGTAAAGTCATTCAAAATAAGCATATCCATCTCTGCATTTTCTGTAATTAACCTTGTCATATTTCACTGCATAAAAACAGGTTCCCATTCCTGATTTGTGAATGTACAATGGATTTATAAATATAAATTTTGACAATAATTTTTGAAAAATTGCCTGACTTTACCTCCTCAATTCTGCCATGGGTCTGATCCAGAACTGCAAGAACATAACCGTTTACAATCACCGATATTCCCTTCGTGATATCGAAAAAATTGCTTATATAGTAGATTCTTGCAGGGTCTGGAACAAAGTATATTTTTTTTGGCCTTGAGGCTGAAATAGGATTGTTATCATATCAGACACTCGATATTGTGGAAAATAAGTGCCCATCCACCACATTCTATTTATTGCTCTATTCCAGAATCTCCAGAAGTATCTTCTAGGTTTGCTATTAATTTCGATATTATAAAGAAAAAATCGATTATCGTAGTAAAGACATTTACATTCTAGCAGACATTCTGGAACGGAGCAAATGTTTTGTAAACTTTTTCTCCAATATTAAAATTGTTCTGAAAAAATTAAAAGTTCATTCGACACAATAAGACCCTAGTATAGAGTTGCATTTTTCTTAGTTGCTTTGAATTTAAATTACCTTTCTGATTGTGCCATGCTACCTTCTGATTATTGTACGATGATTGGTCTGTTCCAAAAACTGCAAGAATGTAAAAGTTTTCAACGCGATATCCGATTTTCCCTTTTTGATATATGGAAAATAACTTTTAAAAATAGTAGACTCTTGCAGCTTCTGGAAAATAAGAAGGTAATTGGATATCACTTTAATTTTATCAACTAAACTATTATCCATTAATTGTTATTTTTTTTATTGGATTCTAATTGAAATAATTGTATGCAAACTCTGGGTGTTCAAAATTAATGCTTGTTGGGCTATAATTAAATAATCCGATGTCCCAGTGGTCGAACATGTGAGCAACTGCAATCTTATTTAATTATAAAATAAGTTAAGTTTATTGAATGAGAGAAAATATGAATAAGTTGGAAACTATTGAAACTATTGTTAAGAATGAATCTTTTTCGGATCGGAGCCGATGTATAAAAATGCATCTACTGAAACAGTGCGAAACTAAATGCCTATTTACATATTCGAAATTTTTCAATCATTTACGTCAGAGCCGCTATATGAAAATTTGTCATGGTAGAAGTATACAGGTAGTCGCATCGACATAGCTGCTGGGACAATGAACTGTCAAACTGATTTTGGAATTGAAAATATTGAATAAAAAAATTATTGAAATTGGTAAAAATTGTTGGAAAATGCATATTATAACAACCTCCGACTTTCATCGCATAAGAAAACATTTAAAAATGTACTTATTTTCGACAAAACATTTCAAAACTTTTTTCTTACTGCGATGATCGATTTTCCCTTTATAATATCGAAAACAATACCAAAAAACAGTAGATTCTTCGAAACACTTCAATGAAAGCTTTTCCATTTTATTCGATTAGTCACATTTACATTTCAATTTCATCCATCCAAATATTTCCATTGTATTGCATTTTAATATAATTATTCAATTATAGTTAATTGGCGGTTAGAACGCCACTCAATTTATTTCTGAATCAACGAGTAGTTCAAACATATTTACGCTTTGCTATTATTATCTCAATTTAAACCTTTAATGGCATTAAGCCATCTTTCATATTGCACACTTGAGTGTAATTGTATTATTCGAATCTGAATCGGTTAGAATGAGACTAAGTTGAGACAACTGCCTGAAACACATGTTAATTTCTTTTCTTTTTATAATTTTATAAAAAAAAAAACTTTGTTTGATTAGTGTGCGTTTGCCGTGCACGTGAAAATTGTTTTCAAAATAAATGGTATAGTCATCTGGTTGCAGCTACATGTGACTTCTTGAAACTGGCTGTATTTAGTAGATGCATTACAATATACACTTGTTTTAACTCTATAACTATAATTTAAATAAAGTCCCAATGTCCAATGTCCCAATGTCCTATCGGTGGGCGTGTCACCCCAATCAGACCATGGCCTGTCCATTAGATCTTTCGCATTGTCAAAATGTGATTAAACCTATGAAAACGTCAGCTGATGAATGAACTGTCAAACCAATATTGGAATTAAAAATTTTCAATGAAAATTTGTTGAAATTCGTAAAATCTTTTAAAAATACATTTCATAATAACCTCCGAAAACATATACAAATCTGCTTATTATTGACAAAAAAAAAATTAATTTGACATTAGGAGGGTATTTCGATCTCAACCGTAGTTTTTTTTATTGTAATTTAAACATTTAAAAATAAAACATTTAAAAATATACTTATTTTGATAAAACATAAAACATTTTGACATATCAATGTTCCCAAGCTTTGATGCATCTACCTATATTCTTCTACCACGAATCGGACTAAATGTCAAAATTTGTTTACATTTTCCTTACTGTTTTGTTTTATTATCGTACTGTGATTCCATTCACAATAACTGTTTTGACAACTAATTTAGAAGTACGTTGACATTTACCGAATCGATTGGATTTCAATTGTCAATTCATTTGCGTATACATATGTCAAATAAATCCACTGGATTTGAAATTCCATTTTATTTGCGATAAACGCAATGGAGTTGACAATTGAAATCGACTCGATAGTAAGTCTAAACGTACTCTAGGAAATTATGATGTGGTAAACCTAGTACCTATTGACTGTGTTATAATCATGGTAGAATCAAGAAGGTAAAGTCATGCAATAATTTATTCAACATTTTTTTTTTCAAAATTATTCATTTGACAAAATATTTATTATTTATTTATCTCATTGTCAAAATATTTAATTATAATAAATACACAAATCAGAGATGGAAACCTAGTTTTTATGCAGTGAAATTTGACAAGGTAAATTACAGAAAATGCAGAGATGCGTAGGCTTATTTAAAATGACTACCTTCTTAATTTTACCATGGCTATAATTTAGGTCATTGGACTTACATGTAAACATAGCCTTAAGCCTTATTTACACCTTATTTGGATAGTCAATTATTTTGATAATGCGTGAAATACATGACAAATCTACGTAAAACGCGTAATATATCAGTCAGTATAAAGGCGGTTTGTGTTTTTTTTGGAGAAAGTGAATTTTGAATATAGTTCCAGCTTTCGATTTTCCGTCTTTCTGGGCAAAATGGTTTTGACGGAGTGTTTTTTTAAGGCTTTTCTGGCTGGATTAAATCATCGGCTGGCTTCTTCGTAGAGGAACAAAGGAGTTTTAGGTTGACTTAGCTCGATTTTGGCCCTTCGATTCTTTGCTCCTTTCAGAATATGCCCGCCGATGACTTAAGCCATCCAAAAAGCGTTTTATGTAATCTCACCTTAAGGAAAGTCTTGTAAATTTGCCCTCTTGCGTTTGGAAGATATTTTTTAAATTAATTCAAAGCTGTGTATCAATTTTAATGACTCTATTATAACACTCCCAGAAATATCCCGTCCCCTTCAGTATTTTTAAGTTCTAGTCAGTATTATCTTTACTCACCGGTTGTATAATTTTAGCCGGGTTAATGTTGTGCTTATTTAATTGTGTTCATTTTGTTGCAATTGCTATTAATAATTACATCTGTTATTCTGCCTTTTTTATTGTTCTGCTGTTTTCTTTGCAAAAACCAGTAAAAACTGGTTTCAATTATCCGGCGAAGACACAATTAATGCAATTGTTCTGTCTTGACTTTTTATAGATTGTCATCCATTTATTAAAGCAATTAGCGGTTATAACAGCTGTTAAAACATTGAAAGGGTAAATCGAGAGAGTGCTTGGGGTGTGATGGAAAATTGATAACGTAGAATAGATGGTCAATATATATTTAAAAATTGAGAGTACCTTAAAAGTGTTTTTTGTTATTGGCTTAAGTCTTCGGCTGACTTCTTCGTAGAGGAGCAAAGGAGTTTTAGGTTGACTTAGTTCGATTTTGGCCCTACGCTTCTTTGTTCTATTTCGAAGAAGACAGCCAGTCAATAAAGTGTTTTAAGTATTCTCACCTTAAGAAAAAAGGGAAATAAATCGATTTGGAAATATGTTATGGAAAATATTTCAAATCAAATTGACGCGCTATATATGCACTTCCATAAAGTGTTGCGTCATATCAAAATTTCTTTAAAAATATTGATTTACGTTAAAAAAAAAAACAATTTAATGCACTCATAATGAAGTGTAGTGGTTTATTTATCGATTGATCAACGTCAGTCGCAGGTTATCTGCAACGATAACAGTTAACAACAACAATTATTATTTCACATAGAATTAGATTGAAATTATTACTCAAAATCAATATGACTCAAATTTGTCGTAATGGAAAACTTTATGGACAAATATATGTAGATGAAACACGGCAAAGCAATTCATCATAATATTAATTGTAGAGTTCGTAAACATACGGGGAAAGTACACGGAAAAGTAATTTAATGACAAAG